ATTGCCTACTTAACTGTATATATATGGTAGACGGAGGTGTAGTTCACCAGTCTGTTGTTTGTAAAGCACTTCATTTTTCTTTTCTTAATGCCCAGGGGTTTCTTCACAGTGCACTGATATATTCTGGTGTCTTCATTGAGTGATATCTTCTGGTGTCCTCGGTTTGTGGGATGCACCCTTAAACAGCTTAAGTTGGTAAACATAATACAGCTTTTGCTTGTTTACATTTCGCTTGTTTTCAACCCATATTTAATACACAGATTAACTTTAGTTTGTTTACAGTGTAATAGGGACCAAGTCTCTTATAACACAAGCTATGCTTCTGTTCTCATTTTCCCAATTTAGCACAAATAGACCAGGTTTAGATACTTTTGCAGTTATGGCATAGACATTCTTTTTCACTTCACATGGACTTCACTATTTTTTCGTAATAAATATTGTGCTTAACCTGCTCAAATAGATGATCACAATCTTCTGTGAGCAGGTGGACGCCTCTGCTGAGCATTCTGGTTTAGCAAAAGAATTAATAACAGAGTTTTTACCCAGGGTTTTTTGGGTTTTTTTAGAGTTAATTTGCTTGCGATACCAGTTCCACTTTTGATATACAAACTTTACCAACCACAACTTCCCTTGAACATAACATATAAAAGAAAAGGATATAAAAATTAAACCAGACTGAATTTTAAGTGCAGGTCTGTGTAAACACTTTGAGAGTATTACATTTTCATGATGTTTTGTTTGGGAGACTAAGGTAGAAACCTGTTGAAATTGGTTAGCTTTAAGGTTTTGTGACATAACCAGACAGTATATATTCTATTTTTTACCTTTTTGCTATAATATTCTTACAACTATATTTCAGTAATTAGTAAAGGCACTGACAACTTTATAAAAACCCACACAAGAAATAGACATTTTATTAATATTGCCTTTACATTCATGTTAAGGTTTCCCCTTACATTTTTTCCGTTGAGTAAAAAGCTTTGGGATTAATAAAAAAATTCTTTTTGTTTGCAATTGCATTATTTGTTGAGGCAAAAATATATGTACATATATTTATAACTGAGGCCTTTTTGAGCTTTTGCAAAAAAAATTGGTGGTGGTTGTTGTTATTATTATGATGGTTATATCTAGGGCCCTACCAAATTCAGGGTCCATTTTGATCAATTTCATGGTCCAAGGATTTTAACAATTGTAAATTTCATGATTTCAGCTATTTAAATCTGAAATTTCATGGTATTTTAATTGTAGGGGTCCTGACCCAAAACGGAGTTGGGGGGAAGGGGGGGGTTGCAAAGTTATTGTGAGGGGGATTGCGGTACTGCTACCCTTACTTCTGCGCCGCTGCTGATGGCGGCGCTACCTTCAGAGCTGGGCAGCTGGAGAGAGGCGGCTGCTAGCTGGAACCCAGCTCTGAAGGCAGAGCCGCCGTCAGCAGCAGTGCAGAAGTAAGGATGGCATCGTATGGTATTGCCACCCTTACTTCTGTGCTGCTTCTGGTGGGGCGCTGCTTTCAGAGCTTGGCATCTGACCGAGAGCTGCTGTGCTCCCGCTGCCCAGGTCTGAAGGCAACGCAGAAGCAATACCACGACCCCCGCTAAAATAACCTTGCAGTCCCCCTGAAGCTCCCTTTCTCAGATTGGATGTCCTGACCGAAAACACCGGTCTCCCCTGTGAAATCTGTGTAGTATAGGGTAAAAGTACACAAAAGAACAGATTTCATGGGGGGGGAGACCAGATTTCACGGACCGTGATGCATTTTTCGTGCCCATGAATTTGGCAGGGCCCTAGTTATATCCAACCATAGAATTAAAATAGCATAGTATCACTTATATTTTAAAAAAATTTAAATTGATATTTGCTGCAACAAAATTAACATTGGTTTGGTTATTTGGTTCGAATCCATAATTGTTAATTTGTTGATTTGATTTTAATCTGACTTTAATTTGACAATTGTATTGTTTTATCTTTAGTTTAGTAGTTTTTTTGTAGTTTGTTAGTTATGTCGTCTTGATTTTATTTTTTGTTTAACTTTAATAAAACTTAAGTTCATTATAACATTGAGTCATAATAAGCAACTGGTCCAGAACCATTGAGAATCTTGGTGAATTTCAACCAGTTTTCTAAGGAGCCTCCCTCCCTCCCTCTTAAATTTACTCCTTTGGTTCTCACAAATGCCTCTTAAGGAGGACATGTAAATTAATTAAATCAATGGACGTTATGAGGTGCTGAGCATCCTCAGAATCAGGCCTTGTGGTAGTACAATAAACCTTGTTTAAGCTATCACCTAAATTGTTTGTCCAGTTTATAAAGTGAAATAGCTACCTCTTTTAAAAAAAAAAAATTAGAGTAGGTGTGAAGCCTGTAACAGTAGTAAGAATTGCATACTAGAGCCAGTGTGCAATGGCAGCCTTCAGTACAAGTAACTGCTTGGAGTAATGTGCAGATATCCTGTATCTGCCAGGGAACGAGAGGGAGACAGCTTGCAGAGGGAATGGGATGGGGAAGTAGCTTATCACTCAAGATCCCTTTCCAGCACTGGAACCAGAGAGGGCAGCAATTCTGACTGCCTTATTTATTTTGACACTTAGTTTCTGGTCTCTTTCACCAGCAGGACTGGATGAAGAGAAGTCCGCCACTCTGCATAGGGATCTTGGGGAGAGAGGCATTTACTATCCCCTATCAATGGGACTTGAAAGGGAGGTAACATAACACCCAACTTCCTCATTCACTTGTTTATTTTGAAGAAACAGAAGATTGTAGAGGGCAGAAGGAAATGCTGTCATCTCAGAGGTGGAAAGGAAACATGAGGTAGAAACAAAGTAATTGTAAGTAGAGGTAGAAAAACAAGTGCCACCAAAAAAAAAAAAAAAAAAATTAGGCCAGAAATAAGAGAATCAACACTGACAAAGCTCTGCGTAGCAGGCTCCTGTTATGAATGAGAGCACAAGGCTCAAACAGTACTAAAAAACAGAACTGAGACCCTAGAACTCCAGTGATTCAAACAAATATGTAATTTAACATATGTTCATGGAACATTAATGGTCTCCGTGGTGTTAGAGAGAAAATGCTTGAGTATGTAAAATTACCAAAGGCTGAGACAGCAAGGTTACAAGGGATGCATCTGCACCTAAGAGACACTTCAAAGTTGGGGAAGTGTTAGAGTGGCAGCAGCTAAAGATCAAAAGGGGATTAGCTGCTCTTTATCATTAAGAGTCTAAATGTACATATTAGAGGCTGATAGGAAAGGCTGTTAAACTTGATGGAGCTCTCCTAATGCTAGGTGTAGCATCCTCTAGTTACCCACAGAGCACCTTTTACTTGAATTAGTGCAGTCTAGTGGACAGAGACAGATGATGGGCAAGTCACTTCAGCTCTGTTTCTTTCCCCATCTGTAAAATGGGAATAATTATACTTAGCATCCTTTGTTAAACACTTTGAAATCTGCAGATAAAGAATATAATAGCTGGATGATGCTGATATTCCTCCATCAGAACACAACATCAGTTATGCTCCATGGTGACGGCAGTTGCATATTGGACCCCTACTGGGATAAATCATCCCCAAAGGCCTTGTCATCTGAGCTAGAGTTCCCTCAACTGCCACTGACTTCACAAATGATCATGCACAAATTAGGGGCAGACTTGAAAATCAGATAAAAAACACCAATGTGATTTATAAGAGAGATAAGATAGGTGAGGCAATATCTTTTATGGGACCAACTTCTGTGGGTGAGAGAAACAAGCTCTCAAGTGTATACAGCGCTCTTCTTCAGGTCTGGGAAACTAACTCAGAGGGTCACTGCTAAACATAAAGTGGAACAGTATTTTTTATTTACATCTGGTTATAAATCATGAATCTCAAGATTTTAGGATTTGGCCTCTGATTTCACTGTGCTCAGCTCTAGCATCAATGCCAAACCTTACAGCTGCCCCCTGAAAGAGCGGAGTGTTATCAGCCTAGCTCTGCCACTGACTGACTGCCTCTGAGCAAGTTCCTCAATTTCCCCAGCTGCAGATTGGGGGCAATGGTTCTGATCTGCTTCACAGGGATGGGAGGTAGGATGGTGAGAGGGGCTCTGAGCTGCTGGGCTGGCAGAGGCTAGAAATAGGCTCAGTAGGAGCTAATGGCAGCGGTGTGATAATCACACCCAGTGTAGGACAGGTGGTACCTGCCCAGCCAAACTGTCAATTCTCCCCTCCCGTTCCAGTTCCTCCCCGAATATGTTTTTAAGTCTCCTGCCCCACTTCCCCTTCATCCCCCTTTCCCTTGAACCTTCCGCTGGAGCGTCCTCCACTTCTTCCTGCCTACCTAGGATAGCCACTCCCGTGTTCCCAGAACAGTGGTTATTCCGGGAATAGAGTGGGCCCGGGCCGGCCAGCATGACCCAACCCCGGCCAGCGCGACCGTGTACCCAGGGTGCATGCGAGGGTCGCGCCACGAGGGGGCAGCACCAATTTCCCGGTGCGCTGCGCCGCCGGCGCGGGCAGGACCCCACAGGCACCGTGCGCCTGAGGCCACCCTGGTTGGGGGGGGGGGTGTGTGTTCAAAATGGCATAGTCCCTGTCTTCTGCCCGCTAACGCGATGCCTGGGTTTGTCCCAGTACTGGATGGGGGCGGGGGGGGGCTGTCAGGGGGAAACTGAGGCACAGAGCGGTTACGGTCCAGCCCGACACAGGTCTTTATGCTCCTCATTTCCAGGGGACTGGCCCAGGCTGGGGCCAACCTCAATTGAACCCACGTCCTCCTAGGCTAGTGCCCTGCACCTCTCCTACGTCGCTCCCTCTCTCCCCTTTCCGCGCGGCCGCTCCTTCCCGCGTCTCTCCCGCCGGCCGCGGGCCCTTTAAGAGCCTCGCCCGCCGCCCCCCCCCCCCAGCCTGGGGCGGGACCCCTCCAGGTTAGAGCTGCGCGCTCCTGGCCCCGCCCCGCCTCGCCTCGGAGGAAAAACAAACTCACTTCCGGCCGAGACACCCGGATGGGCCGGAAGTGAGGAGAACCCGGGGTGGGGGCTGTGCTGGGGGCTGGCCTGAGGCGGGGGAGCGTTGGCTGGACGCCCACCGGGGCCATGATGGCGGAGTAGAGCTGAGGCCCGCGCCCAGAGGTTGGTGGTGGGAGGAGGTGAGGGGGCAGCCGAGAGGGAGGGAAAGAGGAGAAGCCCCCGCGCCTGGAAACGTCCCCCCCCGGCCAGTCGTCCCCCCCCGCCTGTGGAAACGTCCCCCCAACCATGGAGACTGCCCCCCCCGCCCCGGCCAGAGCCCTCCCGAGGGGACTGCCCCCGAGCCTGGAGACTGCCCCCCCCCCGCCCCGGCCAGAGCCCTCCCGAGGGGACTGCCCCCCCCCCCGCCCCGGCCAGAGCCCTCCCGAGGGGACTGCCCCCGAGCCTGGAGACTGCCCCCCCCGGCCAGAGCCCTCCCGAGGGGATTGCCCCCGAGCCTGGGGGACTGCCCCCCCCCCCCCGCCCCGGCCAGAGCCCTCCCGAGGGGACTGCCCCCGAGCCTGGGGACTGCCCCCCCCCCGCCCCGGCCAGAGCCCTCCCGAGGGGACTGCCCCCGAGCCCTCCCGAGGGGACTGCCCTCCCGAGGGGACTGCCCCCGAGCCTGGGGACTGCCCCCCCCCCCCCCCGCCCCGGCCAGAGCCCTCCCGAGGGGACTGCCCCCGAGCCTGGAGACTGCCCCCCCCCCCCCCGGCCAGAGCCCTCCCGAGGGGACTACCCCCAAGCCTGGAGACAGCCCTGGCCAGTGCCCCCCTCTCCCCCGAGCCTGGAGACTGCCCCTGCCCCTTGCCTTCCTGAACCTAGAGACTGCTCCTGTCCTGGCTAGTGCCCTCCAAGCATGGAGACTGCTCCTACCTCAGCTCCCTGTTCCCCTCCTCCCCTGAGCATGGAGACTGTCCTTGTTCCAGTGCCCCCAGAATATGGTGCTCCTGTTCCCCAAGCATGGAGACTGCTCCCTTGCCAGCCTGCTCAGCCAGTCCCACCTACAGCATGGAAATTGCCCCCTTCTCTATTATTCTCCAACCTCTTTCCCACAGACATGCAGATCTAGGAAGTAAATTCTTCTACTTCCCCAGATCCCTATCACACTCAGTTTAGAAGGTCAGCTCAAATCCTTACCCCAAGTAGAATTCCTCCTTTTGTAGAAAATATGCACACGCTCCTCTCCCATAGTAATTGGGCCCCAGTTGCCAAAAAATCCCTCCCTGTTCTTCCACCATCTTCCTGTCTTCCCTGCCATGGAATAGAAGACGAGTCCCCCTCTGGGATGTCTTCACCTGTTGCTGAGGTCAGGTATCACTCTCCCTGTCCAGACCAGACCTTTCATTTGTTCCTGAACTGGCAGAGACTTACCAGGCGTTCCAGAGGCAACACTCCTAGAAAGCATATGCTTACTTTGTTCATGCCCTAACATTTTAAAAAACATTTAACATTTTTTAAAACACTAATGGTCCTGTCCTGTCCCATTCCACAGAAATCTTCTTAAGCCTGTGGAAAGTGTAATGTTAAATGGAGTCATCTAGTTATTTTGAAGTACAGTGTACAGATGTTGCTGAAGTACCTTTAGTAACTCTTAGGCAGCGACTTCTGGTTTGTCCAGTGATGTGGAGCAGCTGGTTACACTATAGGGAAGCTGCTTGCATGCAAACAACTTGCAAGGGGGTAACATCTGTTTTACAGGATTCTGAGAATAAATTAGCCAGTACTTAGTGACTCGAACATGCAGTGCACTATATGTGTTAAGTTTTCATATATAGTTATGGTTGAATTCTATTTTCTGTTCTAATCCTTTTTGTTTGGTTGCTCATAATTTTAAAACTAATTCCTGAGGTGCTGAAATTTTCATGGCTTGCTTTCAATCTGGAGGTGAATTAATCTGTTTTTGGAAAAACAGAACAAAATTGGGTGCATTATTTTTAAATTTTCAATCAAAAAGTTTGTACACGGGCTAATTCAGTGACTTAAAACATAACAAACTTAGCCTGGTTTGTAGATCTCATTGAGCTAGAAGGAACAGAACAAGTTTGAAGAAAATTGGTTCAGTAATTTTAAAGTTAAAAGCTTGTAAATGGGGAAACTTCCTGCATGCTTTGTAGAATTTTGCTATATGTCTTGACAGATTGATCCAAAAGATACAGCTCTTAAACGTTGGAGTGCTGAAGCACTTTCCGTTGGAGGTGTTAGTCAAAATTACTTAGCCAAAATTAATGTATTATTGAAAGCTGTGCACCTATGCTTAATGTATTGCTTTCAGCATGCTTTGTGCTGGAAATGTATTAAAAATTGTGTAAGCTTTTATTGTTTGCATTTGTAGAGATCATCAAGGACAAGATAGTGTTCTCTGTTTTGCTTGGGCTTTAAGTAATAAGCAACTGTTGTAATTGTTGCAAGATTGTTAAATTAACTGGATGCAGATATCTAAGAACCTTGGACAGTAGGTGCAAGGAAAAGGAAGATTAGGGTATGTCATGAGATGAAGGAATTTGGGGCATTTTTGTGTCCATGATAAACAGGGTTATAAATATAAGTAGAAGTGAGGTAATGATTTGGAACAGAATGAAGATGTAACTTCTGCAAAAACCTGTTCTTCAGATTGGTGAAGTATTAACTCATTCCTTTCTGTATAGTGCTCCTGAATCTTTGACTAATAATCTTTTGATTACTAAGCTTGCCTAAGCTTTGGTTATTTGACCTATCATAACACTGATGGTCTAAAACTGAACCCTAATAGAAGTGATTTAAAGTCTGAGAATGTGTAGTGTTTGAGTTGGTGAAGAGTTTGAGATGGCCTTGTTTTGATTTTCACATTTGTAAAGCAGTGCGGCTAAGACGTCTGAGTTCAGAAGGCATTGTACAGCACGTAACAGAGGGCCTCAACACTGATTGGAGGTTCTGGGCACTACTGTAATAACAATATTAAATATTTATTAATGTGTCTAGCAAATTAAGTTTTCAACAGTCAATGATATGCCCTTGTCTCATTGAATAAGGTATGCAATGAATGAAGGAAGACTCTGTAGGCGGCCTTGCTTTAATGATTGTGCACCTTGTGCAGGATAAGACATTCTGGTGGTTCTTAGACAAATAGTTTCAGATTATAATTTAAAAAAAAAATCTAGGTAATTCCTTTAACAAAATCTTGGTGAGAGTGTTAAAGTTGCAGGTAAATTCTCAGAAGTCAGGAAATGCTGGTTCTTGCTTGGATTATTTAGTGCAAAAGCTAACTTGGGAGAGAGAATATTTGTAAAAATATACTTGGCCTGGTCTTCCTTGGTTGCTGTAGGAGATGGTTTTTATTTTTTACTCTACTAAGCTGTGTTTGGCATCCTTGTATTGCTGGAAATATGGAAAATATTTTGATGATGTCATAAACAAAACCATGTGACTTAATTGCAACATCAAATAGGAGAAGAGGAGTTGAGAGAATTGCCCCTTGTTTAGACATAACTCTTGTATTATTAACAAGCCAGTGATGCAAATGATAGAAAAATGTGTTGAGTAAATGGATTTATATTTAAGATAATTAAAACTTTTTCCAGTATGCATGTTAATTAATGTTCATAAGAAATGGCATAACATGAGGGAAACTAATTCATTTTTAAGCCAATAGATTTCCCTGGGTAAATCAGCAAGATAAAAAACATGCATGCATAGCAGTTTTGTTTGTTATCTGGGGAATCTTACTACGTTTTTGTTTTTCACTCACACTTCATGTTCTCTCAAAGTCCATATCAGTGCTGGGCTTCACTATTATGGAACCATGTTCAAACATATTCCCGCAAAGCCCACAGAAATGAACTTGTCAGAGTTCAGTAGTGTTGTTCTTTGGCCCAGTTACAACACAGTTCCATTTTGTGGTGGAGACCTGTGCAATGACTTAACCTTGTAATGGAATTCAGTAAACTGAAATGTATGGTCTTGTCTAAGTTACATAACCAAGACAAGCTGTAAATTGGTCTCCAGATGTGGTGAGATTGATGGTGTAGACTGGCCCTGAATTGATTTCTATCATGATTTGGTCACCATTATGACTCTTCACATGATGGTGGTGGCCCTCTAATCTTAGGTTTTCTAAAAACTTATTATTTAAGTATTTAACATAAACATCATAGGACCATATTCTCTCACCTGTCCTCCCTGAGTGATTTCATACTCTGTACTTAGTCCCATTAATTTCAATAGGGCTGCTTGACAAGCAAGGTACACCCCAATGTGTGGACAATGGTGGCAGAATCTGACTTACAGTTTACATAGTCTAATACAGGGATCCTGAAACTTTTCAGTGTGGCCTCCATCCTATTCGAGAAATTCTCATAGACCACTACTTCCTTTTCATTTATGGTTATGTAAGGTCACAGTGTCAAGTACAGAAACTGGTATCAGAAAAAACAATTAGGAAAATGTTTTTAATTGCGTTGTAATGCAATTTAGCATCTGGAAGCAAGGAGACTCAGTAGCATGGAGCACCAGCAAATGCTTCAGGGAAAAGCAGTAGTATGCTGACTACAATTTGAGCACCAGTGAAGGCACAGGGATGTTAAAAAAACAAAACAAAACGAAGAGTACTTGTGGCACCTTGTTGTTGTTAAAGATTTAAGATCCCTGTAATATTCAGATTAACTTGTGATATTTCAGCCACTTTTTAAGGATAGGTGGGCTATCTTTAGTAATTAAGAAAAGTCTACTAGTTTTAAATACAGCTGATTTTTGTATGGTATTAGTGAGGATATATGCGGATCCAGTTGTAGGCCAGTATTATGCAGATGTATGTTTACTAATAGACGTTAACCAAATGATTTATTGGAATATTTGGTCAGGAAGAATAAGTCAATGTCTGGTCCTAGAATGTTTAGAATACTGTGGATTTGTGAAAATATTTAGAAATGCTGACAAGAAGTGCCCATTTTGGAGACTTTTATTATTTTAATTATAGTGACAGAATATGAACTTTGATTAGGCTGTTACTCCAAGCTGTGCACTATGTTGTTTCATTAGGGGAGTCTCATAAACGCAATAGAAATTATCTGGACTTTATTCTCAATTTCAAGACCATTCATGTTTAGACTATTGCTCATGGAGTGCTAGTTCACCAAGGCCTCCTTTCCAAATGTCAGTAGTCATATGATAGCTAATTGCTCCTCACACAACAGATATTACTGATGCATTTTAGGCTAAACCCATAAAAATTGAAACTGACACACAATTTTAGGTGATAGCTTACTAAATATTTTCTCAAGTTACTAAATATGCATGTACCTCCACTTTCATAGCTTCATAAAGTAGTATAATATTTGCCTAATTCAAGACTGTGTCCAGCAAATTGAGGAACTGTCCCTTTCAGTACCATTCCTATGTGGGTTAAGTAACAATAAAAAACCAAAAAGAAAAGGAGTACTTGTGGCACCTTAGAGACTAACCAATTTATTTGAGCATGAGCTTTCGTGAGCTACAGCTCACTTCATCAGATGTATACCGTGGAAACTGCAGCAGACTTTATATACACACAGAGAATATGAAACAATACCTCCTCCCACCCCACTGTCCTGCTGGTAATAGCTTATCTAAAGTGATCAACAGGTGGGCCATTTCCAGCACAAATCCAGGTTTTCTCACCCTCCACCCCCACACACAAATTCACTCTCCTGCTGGTGCTAGCCCATCCAAAGTGACAACTCTTTACATAATCAAGTCGGGCTATTTCCTGCATAGATCCAGGTTTTCTCACATCCCCCCCACCCCCATACACACACAAACTCACTCTCCTGCTGGTAATAGCTCATCTAAACTGACCACTCTCCAAGTTTAAATCCAAGTTAAACCAGAACATCTGGGGGGGGGGGGTAGGGAAAAAACAAGAGGAAACAGGCTACCTTGCATAATGACTTAGCCACTCCCAGTCTCTATTTAAGCCTAAATTAATAGTATCCAATTTGCAAATGAATTCCAATTCAGCAGTTTCTCGCTGGAGTCTGGATTTGAAGTTTTTTTGTTTTAAGATAGCGACCTTCATGTCTGTGATTGCGTGACCAGAGAGATTGAAGTGTTCTCCGACTGGTTTATGAATGTTATAATTCTTGACATCTGACATCTGATCAGCGGCACTGCTATGGGTACCCGCATGGCCCCACAGTATGCCAACATTTTTATGGCTGATTTAGAACAACGCTTTCTCAGCTCTCGTCCCCTAAAGCCCCTACTCTACTTGCGCTATATTGATGACATCTTCATCATCTGGACCCATGGAAAAGAAGCCCTTGAGGAATTCCACCATGATTTCAACAATTTCCATCCCACCACCAACCTCAGCCTGGTCCAGTCCACACAAGAGATCCACTTCCTGGACACTACAGTGCTAATAAACAATGGCCACATAAACACCACCCTATACCGGAAACCTACTGACCGCTATTCCTACCTGCATGCCTCCAGCTTTCACCCTGACCACACCACACGATCCATCGTCTACAGCCAAGCTCTGCGATACAACCGCATTTGCTCCAACCCCTCAGACAGAGACAAACACCTACAAGATCTCTGTCAAGCTTTCTTACAACTACAATACCCACCTGCAGAAGTAAAGAAACAGATTGATAGAGCCAGAAGAGTTCCCAGAAGTTACCTACTACAGGACAGGCCTAACAAAGAAAATAACAGAACACCACTAGCGGTCACCTTCAGCCCCCAACTAAAACCCCTCCAACGCATTATTAAGGATCTACAACCTATCCTAAAGGATGACCCAACACTCTCACAAGTCTTGGGAGACAGGCCAGTCCTTGCCTACAGACAGCCCCGCAACCTGAAGCAAATACTCACCAACAACCACATACCACACAACAGAACCACTAACCCAGGAACTTATCCTTGCAACAAAGCCCGTTGCCAATTGTGCCCACATATCTATTCAGGGGACACCATCACAGGGCCTAATAACATCAGCCACACTATCAGAGGCTCGTTCACCTGCACATCCACCAATGTGATATATGCCATCATGTGCCAGCAATGCCCCTCTGCCATGCACATTGGTCAAACTGGACAGTCTCTACGTAAAAGAATAAATGGACACAAATCAGATGTCAAGAATTATAACATTCATAAACCAGTCGGAGAACACTTCAATCTCTCTGGTCACGCAATCACAGACATGAAGGTCGCTATCTTAAAACAAAAAAACTTCAAATCCAGACTCCAGCGAGAAACTGCTGAATTGGAATTCATTTGCAAATTGGATACTATTAATTTAGGCTTAAATAGAGACTGGGAGTGGCTAAGTCATTATGCAAGGTAGCCTGTTTCCTCTTGTTTTTTTCCTACCCCCCCCCCCCCCAGATGTTCTGGTTTAACTTGGATTTAAACTTGGAGAGTGGTCAGTTTAGATGAGCTATTACCAGCAGGAGAGTGAGTTTGTGTGTGTATGGGGGTGGGGGGGGATGTGAGAAAACCTGGATCTATGCAGGAAATAGCCCGACTTGATTATGTAAAGAGTTGTCACTTTGGATGGGCTAGCACCAGCAGGAGAGTGAATTTGTGTGTGGGGGTGGAGGGTGAGAAAACCTGGATTTGTGCTGGAAATGGCCCACCTGTTGATCACTTTAGATAAGCTATTACCAGCAGGACAGTGGGGTGGGAGGAGGTATTGTTTCATATTCTCTGTGTGTATATAAAGTCTGCTGCAGTTTCCACGGTATACATCTGATGAAGTGAGCTGTAGCTCACGAAAGCTCATGCTCAAATAAATTGGTTAGTCTCTAAGGTGCCACAAGTACTCCTTTTCTTTTTGCGAATACAGACTAACACGGCTGTTCCTCTGAAACCAATAAAAAACCAAGTGCACAAACCCTTTTTCATAACGTGAGTACCTTTTAGGAAGTGATACTAATAAATTAGGTTGTCACCTTAACTGATGCAAAGTGAGGAGAATGAAAATGTTTGATTCATAGCCAGCGTATACCTTTAGTATTGGTATTAATAAAGCTGAGCACCTGTAGTTACACAATTGTTATATAGAATCTATTCTTTGTTTGTTTATTATTAGCTTGGTAGAAGTGATAGAATTTATCATAAACTTCTCTTATTCTGAATGTAGAGGTAGCCACTTGTGGGAATGTCAGGGATGACTACTAAACTGAAAAATCTTTAATCCATTTTCCTAAATCTAAGCGATGGCTTCATTGAATTATGAGAATCTTAGGGAGCTGAAGTAGAACTAATCAAACTTTGTATCGATAAACCCTCGTTTTCACAAACAAATGTTCTGATGCATACGTATATTAATATTATATATGTTGAAAGAGTTCATTAAAGTTGTATTGTGGGTTAGTTATCGATTCTTTAGTTACATGCAAGGTGAAATTTTTCATATCCGTGTTATCCAAATGAATTAATTGTAGGAGTAATAAAATACTTTTTAATTATTAGTTTTTAAATTTTGTTTTGTATTTCACTGGGAACTGTAGGTGTTCAAATGCTCTGAAAATGAGGCCACTTCTATGAGGTGCATAAATATGGATATAAATGCTTAAACTTGGGCACTTACATTTGATTGTTTTGGTCATCGTGTTTTAAAAATCATATATGACCACTGCATCTGCACATTACAGAAATCTCTAGCCCTTAGCATTTAAGAGATCTTGGTGAAATTGGATCTTATTACTACTTTCAGTGTTTTGATTGCTAATAACTCCCTCCCTCTTTCTATGTGTGTATCTGAAGAATGAGCACATGTTGTTGGTGTACGCCTGGTGGTTCCTCCACCACCCAGTTCCTAAGAACTTATGCTTCCAAGACTTTGTCTCCTGAAGATCGTGCAGCAGCCAATGATGATCTCTGTTACTGCCTGGAATGTGTGGTTGAATATCACAAGGCAAGGGATGAATTGCCATGCTTACTGCAGGAGGTAATTGTCTCCTACTGAGCTGCACAGAATAAAAGCTTTAATTGAGTTACCTCAGAGGGTGGGATTTGATGGTGGTTAGGTCTGACTGAGGGAGAGGAATTTTGTGAGGGCTCTGTGTTTAGCTGACTATTGCAGGAGGCATATGCTACCATTTAATTGTAAGTTCTTGTAATGTGCTCTATTCCTGTATTTAAATACAGAACTTTGTCCCAATTATCAGTCTTCTGTCTAAAATAATGATAAAGCTATTAACTTTATTTAGAAATGAATAAATTATTCAAAACTTTATTCATTAAAGTTACCTACAATTTCTGACTGCCACTAAAGTTACTTTAATTATTCTATAATCAGTCAATTCCAAATTGAAAATGTTGCTGATGATCTGTGTCACCTGAGTTCCATGCCCAACTGTTAATATTTTCTCACCATGTCTGCAAAGTAACTTTCCAAAACAAAGTAATGAGCTCTTAGAATCTCATCAGGAGTTCCACATGATGTTAAACATCCTCAGTCTTAGCAACCTGGACAGACTATTGTCTCCATGTTTCCTTTTCCCTGAATAGATCTTATGGGAGTTGGAAACCTCCCGTCTCATAGACCACTTTGAGAAATCCATGAAGACAGATATTGAAGAGGATGATGAATTATTTATAGTGGATGACAATGGGGAAACTAAACTGTCTGGTTACACAGGCCCAGATTTTGAGAACAACCTGCGTGTACCTCTTCTAGAAATACTGAAATACCCATACCTGCTGCTACATGAACGAATCAGTGAGTATCTCATGGCTTACACTTGAAAGAATCTAGTATTCTCACTATTGCAGGAGGTGAAAATAATTATTTTAAACAGGCATTAGTGAAATGTTTAGTTGCCCTACTAAAATAAGGGTAATATTTCTTTAAGGACTAAAATAAGTTAGCTTGTCTTGGTGTTGGTTAATTTTTACCATTTATGTCTCCTCTTGTTTAGGTGAGCTCTGTGTTGAGGCTCTTTGTAAAATGGAACAAGTTAACTTCTCCTTTCAGGTCTTTGACAAACATCCAGGCATTTATCTGTTGTTGGTACACCCCAATGAAGTGGTGAGTTATTTCTCCTACAATGAGAATACAATCAGAAAAATTAACTCACTTTAAGCTTTTACTGGGCACTTCTGTTTCAGGGATTTGACTGTGTACGTGTATCCTTGTTCATATTTGGCAGGAGAAATACGCCTGTTGTTTCAAGGTTCAAACATTTTTGTGGTATCCTCCTCATATAAACAATCCATAGAAGCATGTAACCTTGATTAGTAATGGGATTAGTATGTCTTGGCATATAATATTCCTATCCATGATAATAAGTGATTGTTTTGCAAAATCAGCTGTTCTCAGCATTTTTCAAGAGCATGCAAGAAAGAAAAGTCAGTGCCACGGCATATTAAAGTCAGCAGACTAATCAATGTTTACTGTTTAATTTGAGCCATTTGTAACATTGTTAACATTTTGGGTATTATATGGCTTTTCTCAAGGTGGATAATAGGAGCACCTAACAGTTTAAAGCATTTAATTTCTACTGAGTCTTTTCCTAATTTCACCTGTTCTGGAGATTGAGCCTCATACTGAATTGAGAACCTAAAGAAGCAGGTGTTTTTCAAAATAAAAATTGTACCGAAAGGAAATTCCACTACATAGACTGAGTTTAAATAACATTCAGATTGTTTTTCCAAATCTTGTAATTAAAAATAAAATCAGAGTTAAGGTTCAAAATTCAGCATGATTCTTCATTCTCCTTTTTTGGCACAGCAGGTTATTCAATTAGAATTTGGATAGGAATACAATCCAAAGAAAATGGAATTCTGTTGCCTGTAAAGAAAATAATTGATTGAGAATGGGGGGATCAGAAGTGAAGGAGAGGAGGGAAATGCATCATGTATTCAGCAAATGAAGTTCATATAAAGTGGAAAGTGTGGTGCAGAAGCTCACAATGTGTAACTCTGGATCACTGATACCTGTCAAGGGACAAAAGCCATGGGACTTTGTTTTCAGAAGTGATGAGAACTTAAAAGTTCAGTTAAAGTCAATAGGAGTTGCAGGAGTTCAGCATCTCTGAAAATAAAGATCTGTGCTTTCAAACTGAGTCCAAGTATATTTTGTATGCCACTCTTTCCAAGATAGCCAAATACAATGTTCATACTTCAGCCTTGTGCTAGGATGTTGAGTCTTTCCATCTCTGTTATCATTTGTTTTTAGTCACTAAAAGCTATATCCTTGGGTAGTCTGAGGTTCAGAGATCTTGGAATTACCTCCAATGTGAAATAGAAGTGGTGAGAGTGGCACTGTCAGTTGGAATAAGAGACAGCCAGGAACACACTTCTTCCCCAAATCCTGTAATTACAGAGCATTCCCATAGCATATATAGTGACATAGCACACAGAGTTTGATATTACCAGCAGGCACAGTTGTCCTTTATTTTAGTCTTCTTCATTCTGAGACTAGTGGAGGCTAGATGGTATTTTTAGTTGTATGTATCTGAACGAGGTTCAGGGAGGATATTTTAATAGGCCAATCCTAGACCACAATGGGAGGTCTCTGTGCCATATGTTCTAGTTCGAAGCAGACCTTGAGGGCATTCATAATGTAGTAGATGGCGGAAGCTTATCACCTTTTGAACCCAGTCCCTTAAGGAATGGTAAGAAAGTGGGAATTTCTGGGGTGCATCTGGGTTGAAAATCACAGGTATTATCAAAATGTCGATATTTGCAGGCCAAATAGCATTGGAAGACCAGAAAAAGACCTACGGAAGTAATTGGTACAGAGTTGTTCACTCCCTTGACATAATCTTAACTCTACAGGGAGACTTAGATTATCCTACAAAACTGCCTTTGTGTACAGCGAAGTGTGAAACTCTAGGACTCCAGCTGGATCTGTCCTGATCTTGCTGGTAGCTTCAATAGCTGTGGGAAGGATTGAGGAGTGGTGGTTATATAGAATCCACAGAACACCTGGATCTTAGGATCTAAGCCCTGATACCATTGAAAGGCCTGCTGTGTATCTTGAGGGGATTCATAGTACACTTTAGGACTAAGGCAGGACAGAATGTCCTCCTTACCTCACTTCCGAGAAAGTCAGTGAATAGTTTGATATGAGTAAGCAACTTTGGGTGTGTAGATCAGGAGGGATATAAGGGTTTATAGTAACCTAGGCAGGCTATTCACCTTAATATTCTTTTTATTCCACAGGAAGAGGTGAGTATTTGTCATTTTTTCAAGTTATTTGATATTGTGTCTAACTGTGGATCCAGATTTTACTTGACAGAGTTTGATAGCTGGTATGGATGTGGATCTGTAGGCATTTTAGGGAGGCTACCCATTGAAAATTCTGCCATTCAAACTGATGTATAAGCTGGTCCTGAGAAATGCATAGGAGATATATTACCCTATTTTATAATCTGACAATATACTGTACATAACATAAAAATGGCCATACTGGGTCAGACCAAAGGTCCATCTAGCCCAGTATCCTGTCTTCCGACAGTGGCCAATGCCAGGTGCCCCAGGGGGAATGAACAGAACGGTAAGTATCAAGTGATCCATCCCATCGCCCATTCCCAGCTTCTGGCAAACAGAGGCTAGGGACACCATCCCTGTCCATCCTGGCTGATAGCCATTGATGGACCTATCCTCCGTGAACTTATCTATAGTCCTTCAAGTATGTCAAAAGATGGATTCTGGCTCAGTAATAAGTAGACAGGCATCCTTCACATACAGCATTAACTTATGGTTCCTTAATTGCACTTCTGTCTGTGTTAAATGTTGATCAGTAAAGTTTCAAGGATATCAAACAAGTCTAGAGATAAAGAGTGCCTCTATCTTGTGCCTCCAGTTAGATTTTGCCCTTGAATGTATGCTTTCTAACTCTTTTGGATTTTTTAGATTGCATTGCACACAGTTTGTAATATGCACGGGGAAATGTTTGTTTATGCTGGAAGAATACTTGATTCTCACTTTCAAGAACTTGCCCTTAGTACAAATGTATTTGACCACATTTTATTAGGAATATGGCTGTTAAACTTACAGCTTTTTCTGAGATTCCTGTTTGTCGTATTCCTTTTAGTAATATTTAAGTATTTTTTTTAATATATAGATTCGTCGATGGGCCATCCTGACAGCAAGAAATTTAGGGAAAGTCGACAGGGATGATTACTATGACTTACAGGAAGTGTTGACTTGCTTGTTTAAAGTCATTGAGTTGGGGCTGTTTGACAGTCCTGATATTTATAGTTCTTCAATGATTGAGAAGGGGAAACTCATTCTTCTGCCATCCCATTTGTATGATACCACCAACTACAAAAACTACTGGCTTGGTGAGTGTTTGTTCAGTAGTGAGCTGTATTTGTGCTTGCTCTCCCCCCCCCCCCCACCTAGGGGTGGGGGTTGGCTGTGGCATTTCTTTCAAGTGGCAGGCCAACCCCTACGCTCTGCTCTGAGTGGAATTCTGCGATTCACCCCACTTCTAACTGAACCCCTAGGTTACAATGCCTCTGGAGAATCCTTGCTAGAGAATCCTCTCTGGGAATTGGACCAGCTGGTAAACGCAGTAACAGAGAACAGCTTTTTCAAGACAGAGTATGATTTATTTACTCTTAGGAACATAACAAGCAGGAAGAAAAAGGTTAAAAAAAGCCTAAATGCATATTGCCTTACCTAAACATAGCCTTTCCTTGCTAGTTTAAGTAGGTTCCACTTGAACCAGACACCTCTCAAACACTGAAGCTTGGTGAAACAGGATGTACCTTTGTAGCTGCTGCTGCCTCTCTGTCTCCCCCCCTCAGGACACAGGCTGTCTTTTATTCATTTCAAAGATTTCTTTGAAAGTTCCCACCTGAAGATCTCCGGTCAGTTTCAGGAACCCTGTTTGAAACCTTAGAACTGGCTTGTTCGCTTCTTTAGATGGGGTTTGGAGGTTCCTTCATCCATTAGATTCTTGGTATTGTCCAGGCAATTGAATTCTGTCTACAGCTATTGTTTTGGGTTCATGCAGGATTTAACCTTTAGTCACCTTTTAGCTGGCAAAATACAGTAACCACCAAACCCACAGGTATATCGCTGTTCTTCATGGGAATATTCATTCTGCAAAGTTAGAGTTGTTGAAATTTCAGTTAATTCTCTTTGGATCTTGTCTCAAGCCCTATGAGATCAGTACAATCAAAGTTCTTGAAATGTGTAATGCATTTTGGGAGTTGTCAAATAGAAGAATTCTAACTGTGTCTGTCCAGGAGGCTCAGTAGCTTATTTAAATTCATCCGCTTCAGGTTCCTCTGATGCTGATCATTTCCTCTGAGAGCTTTCATTGCAGTGAGCTTTGGAAAACAGTACTATTTAGGTTTGCCAAAACTTGAAGGGGGGAAAAAAATGGATCTCCTACACAAACGTAAAGACAGATTGCTTTCATTGCAGGTATCTGTATGTTGCTAACAGTGCTGGAAGAACAAGCTATGGATTCTTTGTTGCTGGGTCCAGATAAGCAGAATGATTTCATGCAGTCTATACTTCACACCATGGAGAAACAAACAGATGGTAATTAATTTTAACTGATGAGGCAGTGGTAGAGATTAAAAAATGGATTATGAACAGTCATATTCTGGTTGTGATATAATTCCTAATAGAACTTACTACTTTTGTTGAACAAATTATTTTTGGTATAGAAGTATAATGCCAAAGACAGGGTTTCTCAGACTTCGACATTTCATTCCTTCCCTGATGTGAAGAACAGTATTTGAACATATACCTTGAGACAAACACTGAAAAACAAGGTTCAAAGGGACTTTGAAAAGTGGAGAAAAGGTGCCTCTTATGGCTTTATGGAGCCATATGTAAAGCGTTAGATGAGGGCAAACTTTTTTTTCTAATTAGTGGGTGATTTCCCCTTAGAAGAGATGGTGCAGTTTTTTCCATGTGGTATGTATTCTGGCTCTTGCATTCTAAAGGGAAGAAGTCATTCTTCCAGGATTATGTTTTTACCTTTCCTGGAAGCTGAATTTCCATATCCTCCTGATTAGTGGTGTGAGAGACAATTCAGTGAAAATGGAAAGTTCATAGTTGTGTGGTAACTATTTTAATTTGCAAAGGTAACATTTCAAACTTTGTAGTTCCTGCTAATTATTTTTCAGATCCTTTTTCTGAGATTTGGATGTTTTTAATTATTTATAAGTTTCTTTTTGTAATATGAGAAGAAAAAGATTGGATCTTTATAAGTGCAATATTTTCATTAAAGAAAAAGTTTATAATCTTACATGAAGAAGGAAGAACACATATACAAGAAAACTGTACAGTATCATTATCTCAGATCTGAAGGAGCTTTAAAAGGAAATATCCCTTCAATAGTTGATAGATTATTCTATTTTAATTAGCATCTAGATGAAGCAACAAAACAAAGGAAAAGAGGAGGAGGAGGAGGAAAAGTTAAAATTACTCAAATTGTGATAAGAGCCTACTGTATACATGAGGATCCTCTCCTTTTTTATCTTTTTCCTGAAGTAATTGCATCTAAACATCTAAGACTTTTTTGCTTTGTCAGTCATAAAAATACAACCTTTTACCATCAAAAATTAGTGCTAGTCTTCTGGGGTAAAAAAAAAAAGCCTAAATACCACTATAATTCAATCACTTTTTAATTATTCTGCACCCCCTTGTTAGTGTTATGTGAGCTAGAACTCGAAAAATGGAGACTATGTCCTGAGTATAAAATTGAGCTTTAACATTATCCGAACTAAAGGAGATAATTAAGGTCTGGGATTTCTGCAGACAAAGAGTCTTGTTTGCCATCAATTTTTTTATTGGCAGAGTAAATTTATAATCAGATATTTTGCCAAGTAACAAAGGAATTTCTTTAATAGCATCTTCTCTTTCATTTCTTTTGGTAATCCCAGTACTCTAGTTTTTAATGCAAGAGTTGTTTTTTAAAAACTCAAGAGTTCTTCTACAGAAGCATATGTTTTCTTGAATCAGTGAACTTCTAGCAAATTTACATTTATCTAAAGCAGATTGAAGCTTCATTTTTTTAGCTGATGTCTGTAATTTACTTTATACTGTTTACAAATTCCTCAGTTTCAGTTACTGTGGGAAAAGAATCTGATTTATCTGCACTCATTTTTACAGTTTCCAAAATATCCTCTAAAGATATATCAGATTCTGATTCTTAACAGCTTCGTTAATGAAACTAGAATGGAATGCTGAGAATGAGTTACTCTGTGCTGGACACTCAAAATGCTGTGTCATTTTCTGTACCAGAAGAGAAGATGCTGATTTAAAAAAAAAAAAAAAATCTATCTTTGTAGCTGAATCTTCTTAGGTACTTTTCTCCATTGAATCATTAAAAATTTTCTAACTGCAGAAGTCTAAATAGAAGATTCTTTTGAACAAATCAGTTGACAAAGCTGTAAGATTCAGATATTCTTCCCTGTCTAGCCCTGTGTTCTCCACACAAATACCTGTAAATAACAATAATAAACACTTTTACCAAATCTTTTTATCTCTTCAGATTTTATTGTGTTTAGAGGCAAGAGGGAAAAAATTAAATTTCTCATCTTGTTCACTTCTTCTAGGGAGGGGGCTCCTAGCCACACTAATGGCTAGGCAGGGGAGGCAGGCCAAACAGAAGGACACAGTGGCTGCAAAAGCTGAAATATAAAATAATCAAAGAAAAATAAAGCTCTTTCTCAGACATAACACTCCTTCCCTGGGCAGCTATATGAGGCATAATAACTCATCTCAATAATATACCTCTTACCCGCGCCCACCAAAATGTCAACAACCAAAACAACAAGGGAAAAAGGTAGGAATGACATAGCTTTGCAGTGAGGGGAAGCTTTAAAAATTATCATCCATTTTATATCTTCCCTTCTCTCGCTCCTCCAGGTTACTTGTTATAGAGGGAAAGCGTGGCTGGTCTCAGACCTTATCTGCAAAACCAGTGTTGCTTCTGAGGGGAATTTTTAAATTCTTCCCCTCTCCTCTTCCTCTGGGTGTTTTTTTTTTTTTATTTTTTTAAGACTTTTTTAGGCTTAAACATTATTTTTAAAAGTTGTAATCCACCTTTTTTTCAATGTTTAAACTAATAAAAGCACTGAAATGAAGAATTAAATTCACTTTGTATTCAGCTAGCAGTAGGAAAGGGCAGAACACTTCCCCCCTCAACTGTTCATGATCTTAAACTGTTACATTTCAGATGAAAGCATTGATCCTTTCTGGCCAGCGCTGCACTGTTTTATGGTGATTTTGGATCAGCTCGGGTCTAAAGTATGGGGTCAACTCATCGATCCAGTCCAGGCCTTTCAAACCATTATCAACAATGTCAGCTACAACAATGAAATAAAAAATATACGCAATAGTTCAAGGAGGTGAGTTCAAGTTTTAAAATTTAACATAGTGTTTGAGTTGCATCTTTTAAGAATAACCATAACATCTTTTAAGAGTAATCATATATTAGACATTCAAAATTAAGCAACCAGCAGACTAGCTAAGTCACCCATTCAACGGTCTTTTTTCATTATCATTAATGAGTGAAGTGAAAATAGTAAATGGCATAAATAGGTAAATTTGATTATTAAAACTGCGAATTTTTAAACATCAAAGCAGCTGTTAGTAATACAACTAAGGACGATCATTTCAAAAAAGATCTTGTTCAGTTAAACAACGTGTTTATGCAAGTACTTATTACATTATATTTCTTCCTAGTATATGTTAAATCCTGAAGTCATTTTCCAAATCTGTCATTTAGTAGTAAGATCTCTCTGAAGCCTGTAGCTTTCTTTTATGCAAGTTCTTTAAAGCACCTACTTGGGTTGCCAACCCTCCAGGATTGCCCTGGAATTTCCAGGAATTAAAGATTACTCTTTAATTAAAGATTGTCATTATGATGAAACTTCCAGGAATATATCCAAGCAAAATTGGCAATCCTATCTACCACACTTGTGGGCACCATAAAATAATAGAACTAGAACAATCTTACACATTCTAACGTACCATATTAATGTTTTCCCACACACATTTTATCACTTGCATCAGTTAGTAATAAAATGTGGCATCTGAAACTGTGAAATCTTCTCTGACTCTTATTTCACTTAGTTCATGAATAATTTGCACGTCTTGGAGCAACTTGTATTTCTTTTCTTTAGGACTAAATCTGAACCAGAGTCAAACTATGAGGAAGAAATGGTTACTTGCAGCCAGATAGTGTATAATTATAACACAGAAAAGCCCAAAAAGGTAAATTCAAAAAAAAAAAAAAAAAGCTTTGTATTTATTTTATCTGCTATTTTTCTGATTCATTTATTAGTGTTCTTGGGTAGGTTTCTTTTCAGATATATTATTTTTCTCTATTTGTAATTTGTGTGCACTGGATAGAAGTTTGTCTCTAGGCACGTTCACTGTTTACCCAGTGTAGTCAGTCATTTTTCTTCCTGTTTGTGTGGATCTTTCGTGGAGCAATGGAGGAGAGAGAAACATTTTATAAAATGGGCATGTGTTGTGGTAAAACAAAAATTGGTAGGGGAACTAGGAGACAGGTGTTTGTACGTGGAAATACTTTTTACCCATTTTTAAGTTTCCTAGATTTTTATTTGACAGTGTCCCTTTTATATCCTTTTTGTCGGTTTATGGATATTTTTAAACTACTGTGCTAAATATGTAATGAAGCGACATGCCATTAAATGTTTGATCTACTGAATACTTTGGACCCATACATAACTTACTTTTTTAACTGTTTCTGTTTATAAGGAACACACTTGCATCATAACTGTCACTCAACTTTTGTATCTTAAGCAAAAGTGCTGTGACTATCTGATATCAAAATAGTGCAGAGTCTGTAAACATTTAAAATAAAGTACATTTGACACTTTGACATGGAAACTCATGCTACATACTGTGACTGGTGCTTTGGTTTTTTAAATGACTAAGTGAACTGTTTTCAATATTTTAATCTCATGGTTTATTCTTTGGGACTTGGAGAAGTTCCTTGTGTATGGTAGAGTTTGGTCTTGTTTAGACTGTAGAGGTAAAATGCTTAGTAACTGATTTCTAGGATGCCACTGAACTGCTGTATCAAATCAGTGCCCATAAATAAATAATGAGCACTATTTGTAGGGGTGGAAGCTAAAAGAAATTTTTGGCTGAGAGTATTGTTTGGCAAATCAAAGCAATCCAAATGAATAATAAGAGTGATATTGTGCAAAATACCTAATGAATAGTTGATTTGTCTTTTTCTATTTCAGGATACTGGATGGAAGACAGCCATTTGTCCGGATTATTGCCCCAACATGTACGAAGATATGCAGACATTGGCTAATGTGCTTCAATCTGATATTGGCCAAGATATGCGTGTCCATAACAGCACATTTCTATGGTTTATTCCTTTTGTTCAGTCCCTAATGGACCTCAAGGACTTGGGCGTGGCTTATATAGTAGAGGTCATTCACCATCTGTGCTCGGAAATCAAAGGCTTTCTCAGTGAAAGAGTCCAGCAATGTGACAAAGTTTCTGAATTTTTCATCCTGATTTTGGTGTCAGTTGTTGAACTACACAGAAATAAAAAGTGCCTGCATTTGCTTTGGGTTAGCTCTCAGGAATGGGTGGAAGCAGTAGTGAAATGTGCTAAACTTCCAACTATAGCATTTATGCGCTGCTCTGAAAAAGCACCTGGAAACGCTCCTAAACTTACACCAACAATATCTTCACAGGCTTCTAACACTGTACAGCATGCTTGCGTGCAGTTGATACGCAGCCTTCTTCGAGAAGGCTACCAGTTAGGGCAACAAACTGTTTGCAAACAGTTTCTAGATAAACTCAATCTGCTTTTGCGTGGAAACTTACCTATGGGTTGGCAGCTGAACAACCGGGAAACTCAGGAATTGCAAATGTGTTTAAAGCAGGTAATAAGAAGTATAAAGGACAGATCATCAAATGCTTCCATACCTGTGGAAAATAGCGTGATCTGTACAAATTTGCCCACCATTCCTATAAAGCAAGAGAAAGGGACAGCCAGTGACAGGTGTCAGATGAATATACAATACAGGGATAGCCTCAGTCCCCCATTTTCTTTAGCATCTGGGAGCGATGAGGCTTGTCAAGAGAGTTCTTCCCCAAGAAGAAGAGGTATCTGGGAAGAGGAATATAGGGAAATGTCTTTTAACAATACAAAATTATGTGTAACTGCAGAATGCCTTTTGACAGATATTAAAAAAGAACCTCATGATAGGTCATTTCAGGAATGTGAACATCCCGATAGCTCTGGAGCAACAAAAATACACAAGGATACCCCTAAAAATGGAAACAACTACCAAGTGCAGGGGAACCAAAATAAGAATAACTCCTTACTTAAACAGTGCTTCAACACAAGTCCTCAAGTCTGTGATTTCAAAAGTCATGCTATATTGGAGAGAGACGAAACAGAAGTGAGGATGCCAGAGTGTCTGAATGCTCAATCTTGTTCCAGTTCTCATGAAGACACTCACAGCTCAAATGGAAAGGATGGAAGTTGCTCCCCTAATTCCTGTTCAAAGTTTAAGGTAGATCCTGATAAAATCACAAATTTGAAAACCCAGGTACAGAATGCTGATTGGGCCACAAAACTATTGAAGTTAATGAAGCAATCAGCTTCAAATTCAGAAGTAGACCAACTACAGTCTCGCTCTGAGAGTCTCTGTACAAGTAAAGATGGCAGCAGAGATCAGGAAGTGAATATTTTGAATGAAGGTGAAACCTCAGTTAACTTTAATACTTCAAACGCTTCTGAAAATAAACAGGAGAACAGCATGAACAGTACTTTTCAAATCAAGCTGCTCTCTCTTAAGCAGGAATCAAATGACACCAAGGCAGATTATTCAAATTCCATTAAAAAAGAGGCTGGTTTGGAAGAAAGTGAAAGTGGAGGTGAAGAAGACAATATTCCACTTGATACGTTTATACATTATTTAAAGAAAAAGAGATCTCTTTCAGGAAGATCAAGTTCTTTGCCAAAGCCTTTACTGAATAAAGACCTGAACACAGAAATACCAGATCAAGGACAGTCTAATTCTGGCAGTTTATGCCCAAAGAGAGGTGACCTCAAAGATCAAAAAGTGAGCATGCTACGTACAGATAAAACTTCAGCAAATTTTAACAGTCTATCTAGTTCTGAAAATAAAGAGGAGATACCTAGGAATGCTCCTCTAATCAGTCCTCTCTTAATTAAGCATGAGTCAACTGACAGACTGTTAGATTTTTCAAGATATTTTAAAAGAGAAGGCGATTCAGAGGAAAAAAGAAATCATGAAGATAATGCAGCAGTTGCATGTGATTTGGTAAAGCAATTTGGAGCTAGCCCCTTAACAGACTCTCAGATCGATAGAGACCTTGATAAATTATCCTTAGCCGCTTATGCCAAAGGTGTCAATTTTCCTGTTGATTCAAGCCAAGAATGCTCAGTACGTCTGAGTCACATTAAAAGGAAAGTAAAAGGTGCTGTTAGATCATCCACAAAGGGCCAAAGTAATGAGTCCTCTTCTGATGCAGATTGTCCCAACAATGAAGTCATCGTCATTTCAGATTCTTCTTCTGATGAGGAAAAAAAGTTGGATATTAAGAAACCAGTAAAAAAAGATGTGTATATGTGTCCAGAAAAACAGCCTTTAACACCTGACTATGTTTCTGATAGTGCAAACAAAAAAGAGCAATTGGAGACTCATAGCTCCCCTTTGCCATGTGAGGAACATAATTCTCAGTTTTTTGAGTTTGAAACTGAAGACGATGTCTTTTCAGTCTGGCAAGATTCTCAGATAAATGATGAGGAAGTGAATCAGGCACAGGAACAAGACTCTAACTTGACATCAACAAGCAAATGTGCTTCAGATAGTTTTGAGTTGGCAGATCGTATAAATGACGGGGGTTATGATACAGATTATATCAGTGATGATGTCATTGAAAAAGCAGAAGAGGTCGTTGAAAGGCAGGTAGATTCTCTGTCTCATAAGGAAGTTAGTAAAACTGGCACGAAATCTGAGGCAACTTTTCAAGAGCCTGCTATCCAGGGAAATGCAACTGCTCAGTCTGAGAATTCTACTCAGCCAGATGCTGTTGCTAAAGACCATGCCAAAAACACAGGCTTGATGGAACCCAGAGCATCTGCATCTAGTGTATCATTTGCTTCAAAGTTGACTATTAAAAAAAGCACTTTAAGCCCAGGCAAAAACTTAGCAAAATCCAAGTTGGTAAGAACTGCCCTTAGAAGTCCCAGAAAAGTGAGCCTTAAAACTGTGCAAAACAAAAAACTTCCTCAGACTAGTTCTAGAAATACTGAGCCTTGCAGGTCAACCCCTGCTGTAGTTCCTCCAAAGAAAGTTCACCAGTGTCCTGAGCCAACTTCAACTGTGGTCAAACTTGGCCTAAAAAAGGCCCCCCGCAAAGCATTTGAGTTATCCCAGCGATCCTTAGATAGTCTGGCTGAATTGCGCAGTTATGGGAAAGCTGCTGGGGCAGTTCAGACTCCACAGAAACAAAAAACTAAATTAATTGCTCCACAGAATCTAGTTACAAAACATAATAGAAAAATGTTAGCCTGCCAAGATCTTCCGTTTCGGAGGCAGATAAGACCCACACAAGTGGGGAGAGGGAAAAATCAGATAGGAAGTTCTGAGGGCAGAAGGAAAAAAATAACTGAAAAGTCTGATCCAAAGCACCCAATACAACAGCCTGTGGATTTTGACCCAGTATCTGCTGCGGGAACTAGTGAAAAACAAAAAGCAAGCACAGCTGAGCGGGTATGGTGTCCCTCAAGCAATGATGGGAAAAAAGTGAGAAAAAGCTTCTCACCTGGGAGAAAGGAAGTCCAAACTACACACATGAGTAAAATGGCTCCACATGGTTCTAAGGAATCTAACATGAAAATAGAAGAAAACAATATGGCAGTTCCTGCATTACAGATCAAATCATGTTTTTCTTCATCTTTAAATGGAGACTACAAAAATGAAACTGCAGAGAGAGAATATGTTGTCCCTCTGGTTTCCCCATCTACACCTAACTTTGAGGGGGCAACTCTGGAAGTGAGCAAGCCTAAATTAAATGAAGAGAGTGATGATGATTTATTTTTAACTCAGTTAGATCCTGTGGATATGGAAATGTGTTCGCAGATGGAAAATGTTGGCGATATTATAATAGCTAGTGAAAAAGAGCTAGTAGACACGGAAGTAGATGCTGCTGAAAGTCTGCTGCAGAATGAGCCCTTAGGTATTGTGAAGTGTAAGTACAAAGATTGTACAGAACAGGTGGAAAAGACAGTGGAGTACTGTAGGAAGCATTCTGCCTCTGATGCTTCAGATCATCTCTTTGTCAAGCCAGCTTTACCACCTCGTAAGCCTGAAAAACCTTCCACTACTAAAATTTTCAGCTCAAATAGCTCTTCACGGAGTGCCAACCTCACGAAGGATCTTGAAAATATTTCAAAGCACTCGTCATCAAAAGCCAAGTCAAATGTGGTAAAATCCAGAGTGTCCAAGACAGGGAATCCAAAAGCTGTATCGACAGAGAACCAGATAGTCAAGACCCCAAGTTTCAGCAATAGTCTTCGGTCCCAGAGTTCCAGCAATGTTCTCCGGCCCCAGAACATGCAGACAAACAGTACTTCATGTTTTCCCAACAGGTCTGCCTTAGGGGCTCATTCAGGGCAAGCAAGAGGTCTCCCTTCCTTTCCACAAGCAAATGCTCTTGTCACTCAACAACGTGATCATAGTATTTTTGTTACAGAGATTCTGAAATGGAACTATGAAATGTTTGTCAACTTCAGCCAGTTTGGACTTCCACATAATCTCCTTCAATCAATTATGGTCTCTGTTCCTGTCAAATTTCAGGGATACAATGACTATTTTAATACATTTTTCCCCTTGATGATGCTAAATGCCTTTGAAACAGTAAGTAACTTATCTGCTTTTTTTTATGAAACTGTTACCACTTTAAGTTTGTTTTCATCAAGCATAGAAAATTTTAGGAAGAGCTAAAAGAACTAGGTACCTGCTCTTCTTAACTTCTGAAAATGTTGTTGTGCCTTGATTTAAAAAAAAAAAAATCTTAATGATATTTGTACATTTCTGTGGAAAGGACAGGGTTAGAGCTTAAAATGTTATAGCTTAATTTAGTGCTCAAAAAAATGACATTCCATGAGCACTGTTGCCATGCCCTCTGCACTCCCATCCACTATAACTGAGCTCTTTCAGTTAACTTTAAAAAGGCCACCTGCAAAGGGAAAAATTGGGTTTGTGCCCCTTTTTCTTCATAGTGTATAAAGAAGACCTAAAAGGGAAAATCTCAATGTCTTTTTACAAGAAAAAGTCAGGTCTTGGCTATTTTGTTTTCCAAAAATATGTTAAGAATGAATAGATCAGTCAGGCTTATGACATCAAGAAGCTTTGCAAAAGAGATCCAGTTGATATGGGAAATGATCTTATTTCAGACTGCTTAAAACTTTAACATCAGTGTAACACAAACATTTGCTAGAAAAGTGTTCTGGTAAAGATACAATATCCATGTCCCTTCAATTAAGGAAGAACTCTGTGTAAGCTTGAAAGCTTGTCTCTTTCACCAACAAAAGTTAGTCCAATAAAAATTATTACCTCACTCACCTTGTCCCTTCAATTAGCGTCTGAGAGTGCTTTCAAGCCCCACCTTTGCATCCCCCCAAAAGTCCTTCAGCAGAAACAGGGCAGATAAGACTTGACAGTAAAAAAAACTAACAGAAAAACTGTTTTTGGAGCAGACTGGTAAGAAAAACCCTTTCAGGCTTCTTTCTTGCACAAATATTGAATGTTGTTCCATTTTGAAGGTCACCTTATATCTTGACCTGCAACAGTACCATCGGTTTCGCTTCATTTCTGCCAGTTCACTTCAGTACTGGTGCTCTTCACTAGTCATGACAAATCATGGTGTAATTTTAGAACGTAATTTATCCTTATGAAAAACAACCTCCTAAAATATTTTCATATAACTTCCACTTTTATTACATGCAGGTTGCACAGGAATGGATAGAAAACCAGAAAACAAGAGAGAAAAATTGTTATCATTTGCACTTACAAAATTTCTGCGCTGACTTGAATCGAGCAGATTTTACAGGTGAGTATTTATGAAAACACCCAGTTTTCTGGGGAAATAGGCAAAAATACAATGAATTGAATTAATGAATTAAAACTGAGTGGTAGAAATAGGTGTAGGAGATACACAAATCCGAGTGCTCAAATTTATGTTGTGGTTACAGGTCGAACCTGAGGCCTAGTTACAAATACAGTGATGACCTTGGTATAAATGCATAAACAGAAATGTACTTTATTGCCAATCTAGAGAAAACACCGTGCCAGTCGGATATGGCACAACTATTACTCCTCATTATATAGGAGCAGTTTGCGTGTGACATCCAGAATGCCCAGATTTATAAGACTTTTCCATTGTTTGTTTGAAAAAAGGTACAAAATACATGTTGGTGAAAAGTACCCCATGCAAGGAATTCATGCTTCAAAATTGCTCACTATGCCAAGCTGTTTTCTAAATATTTTAATATATCAGATCTGACCCATTTAGAATTGTTTGATGACAAATTTCCTGGAAAAGGAGATGGGAATGAAGTAGCTTTTCGGCTTATTTGGTTTCATGTGTCTGATCTGAGTCCAAGATTGGTAACCAGGTACTCGAGTTATAATCCTGCTTCTTGCATAGATTCCTTGAGCCTTGGGCAGGTCACACACTGTAAAGTCTGCATTTCTGTAACTTTTAACCATTTTAAAAATTAGATGCATATTTCAGAAGTGCCTGCAATAAATGAATAGTTCAGTGGTTACCCAAATACGGCTGGCTGTGCCCATGTTAATTTTTACATTGTTCCCGGTAGCATGCATTCGGGAAAGTGATCTGGCAAAACAGCTTCATCCAAAGGATGACGACTTGATCTTTTTGGTGGTGCCTGAAAAACAAAACACCTTTACAGAGGAAAGTGAGATGGAGAGCCATCTAATGTATCATGTTGGTTTTGTGACCCGCTTCTCCCGTGCATCACTCCGTGAAACGAGTAAGTAAAAGTCGTTGAGAGATATTATAGTATAATCCACTAGGATGGGAGCTGGTTCTTTTTGCATGATGACACCATATCTTTTTATTCCCTCCAAAGTCATATTTCTCTAAATCCATTCTAATTGGTACATTTTTAACTTATTTTATTTGTATTTATTATTTCTTCTTTAGTGTTTGTCTCCAATGGCGAGTTTAGCAAGAGTTTCTGCAACAAATCTATTGTCTGATCATCTAAATATAAATTTGAGAACCCTTTTACTCTCCAGCCAATATGGCTTGTAAAGGTTATAACAGTGCCACTGTTAGTATTTGATCAGACCTTTCATCCTTGTTGTTCCAAAATTAAAATGTTACCTTTATTTGGGCCTGTCCCTTAATTTAGACTTTCCAAAGTACTATTTAATTAATCAAGAATTAACAATTCGTCTAATCAATAACCAATAATAATTTAAAAACTGTGATTATGTTTAGTGAGAGGGGTTCTCTTGAGTCTGAGTTAGTTTAATAATAACAAACCTCGAATAAGTTAGCTTGATTGGATTTATTAATGCTTAGTAAACACAGCACATACACTGAGAGAAATAGTTACCAACATCTGTGAAAGACTTTTCCCTATATTTCCCTGACAGCATGCATTCAGTCTGCAGATACTCTACTTCCTCCTGATTTTTAAGGGCAATTATTTTGACCGTTATCACGTATCATTCTGGTCCTTATGTATTTCCTCTTTTTGGTACAAACTTGTTATCTTAAGGTCTTTCCAAGATTCCCCATAACATTGCAACTTTTGAACTGTCTCCACATCTATTGGTTAGTCATTTTTTAAGCCCTTATTTTAGACTTTTATTTGTTTTGTGTCTTGCAGGTAGTACATTGATAAAATATCTCCGACAACCATTTTCAAAATATTCTAAGGGTTACTGCTCAGTAAAATTCCACTCTGTAAAGTTAGCTTCATCTTCCCTGTGAAACATCATGGGAGCCTTGCTCTCAGGCAAGCCTCAAAATCTTTCTTGGTCTAGCTGAAGTGTCAACAAACCTTTTACGGGTACCATCTTTTTCTATTTTAAAAAATTTATGTAGACCCCAGGAATCAAATCCTTTCTCAGCAAAAGTGGGCCATATAATTAAGTGGCAATTTCCCCCTCTCTTTTGAAATGCTGTTTATGATTTTTATATTCCCCCTCCCTCAGAGTCATGTGTTGCTGCGGCCCTGATAAAAATCAGACTCCCTTTATAACACCCTGTTATAACACTCCCTTTATACCACACTGTTCCTTAGCTGGCTGAAAAGGTTTCTGTTTAGTTATGTTATACACTTATTTCCCACACAAGTTGAATGCACTTACTTACTCCTGGGAAGTAATAGACCAAGAGTCTAATCCTCATGTGCCTCCCATGTAGCTGACCTAGACATTGTTTCTTGGACCTAGTTGTAAGTCTCTTCAGCGTGTCGTGTGGTAAACTAGAAGTGGAGATCTGCTGTAATGGGTGTATAACATTTTTATATAAAGTTGGTGTAGCAGGGCGTGCAGTCACTGGCACGGCTCCTCAGGCTGGTTGTCCAGGAATGAGCTCATCCAGCTCAGGAGCACCTCCTCTGGCCGGTTTCTCGCCCTTTGTTACCTGCCCTGTTGTCTCCACCACCTCTGGCCCCGTGTCCCTTCCGAACCCTGGTGCCCCTTTCTTTGGGGTGCTGCCTTATGGCAGTGCCTCCACATTCTGGCTCTCCCCACCCAGGGGAACCCAACCCCCTATACCCACCTTGCCTCAGTGGCTCCTGCCAGTCGTCATCTAACCCATTCTTTCAGGGGAAAACTGCAGTCTGAAATGGCCGCTCATCACTGGCAAGGGGGTTGAACCTACTGCCTTTTTTTGGCCTGGCTGCCTCCCTGCAGCCCTAGTATCTCCTCAGGCCTTTGCTGCAAGGCCTCAACCTGTGAGGTCACCAGGCCAGAGCCCCCCAGCTCAGCCTGCCCTTTCCCAGTACTGCTCTGTCCAAGGTACCCCTGCTTGCTCTCCTAGGCAACCTGGTTCTCTCTTCTCCCCAGCTGGAGCAAGAGTCTCTCTCACTCTCCCAGCCTGCCCTCTTTTCAGGGCCAGCAGTGCCCTAATTGGGTGCAACCACACCTGTGGCTGACTACCCAACCAGCCTCTCCTGGATGCTTTTAACCCCTTTCTGACTGGAGCGGGGTGACTGCACTGCTACAGTTGGTTAAAGCCTTGGTATTCTGTCCAAGTAAAGACTGACAGTGAATAAGTGCTGTGTGTACTCTTTGGGCCCTGTCCTGTAAGATACTGAGTGTCCTAACAATTTCAGCTGGAAAATGTTCAACATCTTCCAGAATCAGGCTGCAATGCACTAAGATGTGTTGGAGTGAAGAGTTGCAGGAGTAGTAAAATTTGTATTTGAAAAGAAATGTAACCATCAAACTTGAAACGTTAATGTGAGAAGAATAAAATATATGGTTGCTTTACCATGATGCTCTTTCTTTTAACAGGGCAAAATGAGCAGCATGTTGTCTGTCACCTTTCTGTCCAAACTCGAGGCAATTTGTCATACTACATAAATCAGCCAGTGAAATGTGTAGTGGTCAGCTCTCTAGTGACCACGCAACGAAGGTTCAAAGGTCTGCTACTGTTGAGCAGGAGTCCTCTGGCTAAACCCATCATAAATCCAAGTTACACTGACTTCTGTCCCAGGGATTTGAATGTAACTTCAGAGAGCACTGTAAGTCCTGTAACTAAGTAGTAAATGGTGGTGAGGGATGACAAGTGAGCAAATTATTTTACCAATTTTGCTAAATTGTTAGAAAAGCCATCCCAGTATTTAGGTGCTCACTGAACGTAGTATTGGGCAGCTGAGCCAGGTTCAAAAGCATCTTTGAGTGCCAAACTGCATGGAGTTGATGAACTTTGTGCCTAGATAAGGGGCTGAACATATGTTTAGATGCCTCTTCTTTGTTTTGATTTATGGCACTGTATTGATATCTGTTTTAATCAAGAAGCACTCCCGTCCGATGTTTGGTGGAGAAATATCTGCTTAGGAGTTGAGGGGGTGGTGGTAGAAAAGTAAAACTAAAGGAAGGTATGGGAGACCTAAAATCCTCTCAGTAGCAGCCTTCAGGTCCGGGGTGTGCTGTGCAGAGAGAAAACTCAGTCTCAGAAGTGTGTGCACTCTATAAGCTCTTCAAACTGAGGGCACGACAAGAAACACAAACTGAAAGCACAGAAACTTTTATTGATGACTTCAGTTAACAGAACATTATTTTTTTCCCTTTAGACTTCCTACATGAGAGACTACAATGCAGATCAGAAGAAGGCTATTGAAACTGCTTATGCTATGGTGAAGGAGCATCCAAGACTTCCCAGAATCTGCCTGATCCATGGGCCACCTGGGACAGGGAAATCAAAAACTATTGTTGGACTCCTGTACCGTATTCTGACAGAGGTAGGTGAATATGGTTACATATTCCGTCAGGCATTTCACCTTTGCTCACCCAAGAGAAGCAGTGAAATGAAGTAGTTGGCGACATGAACTAAATGTAATCATTCTTAAAGTATTTATTGTAGTAACTACTAGAGAATATAACTCATTCACTTTTATTTGTTTGGTACTGAATAAGAGGCTGTGAATTTAATTGGCTACTAGCTGTGACTCTGGTATTGAAACACCACATGCATTTTGGAAAAAAAAGTTATTAATTCCAGCAATGCTTGAAAAACAAAATGCATAAATCTACTTTGCCTAGCTGTTGCATAGTTAGCAAGGTAAGAAACCTGAGTCATCTGTCACACTAAAATCATCACACCTGTTAGTTTTCGTGTTAACTCCCTATACATTAGCCAAATGTATCTCCATTAAATAGAATTCATGCCAATACTTTGCAGTTTAAGCAGAAGTCACTGTTAAGATTGGGTGGTTCCCTGAGAGAGGTCCCAGTAAAGCAGTCTTCCAGATTAACCATATCCTGTTTGAGAGGAGTGTACTGTCTAACTTTTGAAATTAAAAATCTGGACTAGACTGCTGGTTTTGATGTCTTGTTTATTAACCTGCAGAGGTCTGGGAATGAGAATCCAGCTCAAAACTTGAATGCCAAGATCAAGCGAAACCGTGTTCTGGTTTGTGCACCATCCAATGCTGCTGTTGATGAACTCATGAAAAAGATAATCTTGGAATTCAAAGAAAAATGCCAAGACAGAAAAAATCCTTTGGGTGTGCAAGTTTATCTCCATATATAAAATGGGTAACATTGAAGGAGAAAAAGGAACTGTTTAACCAGGATGCAATTGCTTCATATCATCACTTATTCATAAAGCATGTGTACAATTACAGTGCTATACAGATAAGAGTAAGATACGTTCTCCCCATAGAAGAACATAATCAGTATGACCTCACACTCCCTATTGATTGCTTTCATATGTTTCTCTAGAATGTGCATGGTATAACTTGTTTATCAGTGACTATATTGCTTTAATAGCAAGCACTTACAAAACTTTGCAGCTTGAAATCACTATCATTGACCCTTTTCCTCTTTTTGTGTTAAAGTATTAATACACTTTTTTCTCAATATGGCTCAAAGGCTTGGATGGACGATTTCCATCTTTATACTGAAACTATTGGAATTTCCAGCTCTTATCAGTTTGAGTTGCCATTAAAGGTCAGGGTAAAATGTTTTTGCAATATATTCTGGAGTCAGTTCACTTTGTGGTTCTATTTTCTCTCACTGTTTGTGCTTGTGTGAAATTGACAATGTCTAAGCAAAGGGAGGGATTGCTCTCTACTTTGGTGGGTCAGTGTTAGGAAAAGTGAATTACTAGCAGGGAATATTCCAGTACAAAGGCAAAATACTGCTGTCAGAACTGCATGCACTGTTTTTTAAACATGGCTTCACTGAAGCTCTCAGGGATTCTTCCATATAGCTGATGTTTACTCCATATTCATGTGCCTGCATTTCTGACTGTGATCTCATAGCAGATATGTAAATGTGCATCAGAAAATGCCCTTTTTAAATGAGAAATATTGTAGATAATGAAGTCTAGCATAACTAGCTCCTATCTTGAATCTGTGATCTGAAACTGTGGTTTATATACAGGAAATTGTGGAGATATAAACTTAGTGCGACTAGGTCCAGAAAAGTCAATAAGCACTGATGTCCTGAGATTCAGCCTGGACAGCCAAGTTAGCCACAGGATGAGTAAGTAACATGCAAAGATGATTACTTTAGTTTCCTTTATAAGAATATGGTATTGAGACTGGTTATGCGATGTGCTCAATTCCACTGGACACAAAGGAGAAACTTCATGAAGGCAGGTATTTATAGAACAGCCTATATTATGCCACAGTGCTTTTATAAGGAACTTGTTTTCTCTATGGGCCTAAAAAGGGGGACACTGTCAATATAGATTTGGCCTAAAACTTAAATTTTGTATTTTTTTAAAAAAAAGTAAACAGCTTTTATAAGGCCAGTAGATTTTTCCCGCAAATAAAAATCTACTGAGAACGTTTGTATTTAAACAAACGCTTCAGTAGCATTTGAAATCTAGACACTGTGGCATTTAAAAGCCTGGCTAATACATAGAAAGGATACTGACTTCATTGATTTTCGTTGTCCAAGGTGAGAAATGCAGGAAGTAAAAGGAGTATAAACAATGTCAAGTAAACTGGGCGCCAGTCCTTTCATTCTTAGGTGGTGCTAGTCACATAGTTTTTTTTAAAAAAAAAAAAATTGGTCTGTAACATTTAAATTTCTCCTTTTAATTTCCTCCTCATTTTATTTTCATAGACAGGGGACAACCTGGCCGTGACCAGGATATTCACAGGAAAAAGGAAGCTCTAGATCGCCAGCTGGACAGTCTCTCTCGGCAGCGTGCCATGGATAGATGTGATAAGAGGCAGAGGGTAGTTTAATTTTGCTTTGTAGTTTTTTTCATACATCTTCATTTCCGTGGAGGCTCAATCCACAAGAGTTCTTCTTTCCAAACCGAATATACCTTTCTCAATTGTGATGGGAAGCAACGTTTTCTTTCATCCCTCCAAACACATGGCACTTGACCAATACTGTTAAAATAAGCCAGGAATTAATAGCCTTCTACCATAGAGGCATTTGTCTCTGTCATTTAGCTGTGTCAAAGTTCTAGATAAGGCAATGTACACACCTGGAACTCTCTAAGGCAGTTTGCAGGATCCTTCATTTACTTTGTGGTCAGCTAGAGGGAATAGTCCCTTCTTGCTCACTGTAATTGGCACTTAAAATCTTTCATGAATTCATTTTCTTGTGTGTTTTTAAGCTTAGTTTTTTTTTACCTTTAACCCTGGAATTGGATACATATCAAGCAGTGGTGTTATGCTAAACAATCAGTTCCACTTTTTATTCAGCTGTGACACTGATTAACTTTCCCAGACTTCAAGAAGAGCTGCATGTAAGCTTGAAATCATCTCTCTCTCTCCAACAGAAACTGGTCCAATAAAAGATATTCCATCACCCACCTTGTCTCTTTACATATCAAGCAGTCAGACAAGAAACATTTTTATGACTGCTTGTTATACTTTACTTCACTTATAAGTCTCCCCTCAATTTTTGCTTTAAACACTTGGCATACCTGTGTGTTGCAGCTACTTGATAGTAAATTACAGTGCTTAGCTTCATGGAGACAAGCCAGTGTAGTGTGTTTAGGAATCTAAATATCTTATGTTGTCAACAGCTCACAGTTGTGTATCTTTTCTAAGAAACTGTGGTCTGCATATACAGGTACACTTAGATATTAAAAGGCTGTAAGTTGAACATGTTTAGATGTATAGAAAACCTTGAGGCCATAGGAGAACAAAGGAAATGTGCATTGTTAATTACTCTTGATACAAATATTCCAGTTCATATCTTTCTTTCAGAGTCAAAAGTTAGATGAGGAAATTGCCAGACTTTCAAGAGAGCGGCAACAACTCACTTCTCAGCTGAGGCAGGTAGGAATCTTTCCTCAGGGCAACTCTTTAAAACAAACTTAGTTGATTTGTATAGATGCATCATTTTTTCATCTCTTACAAAATAGATGGTTCTTGGTTTTGAGGTTGCTGGGAGGATTTAAAAGTAACTAAATAAAACTTGAGTGAAAATCCAGGTACATTCTGCTGGCAGGGTTTTACAAAGAAACAGATGGGAAGTGTGTTAAAAATGTAACATCATTAGTTTAGGGTGAATTTAAAATAATGAACAATCTACCCACTTGAGCATTGTTAGGAGCAACAGACTCTAGGGGAGACATCTATTATATATGAACTTTCCCTCAGGACTCCTTCCCTTCACCATCCTGCTCCTAAACATCTGGCTGAAATACACTTAAATGTTTTTAAGCAAGTCAGCACACAGGAATTGGGGGAATTACTTGGCTTATGGAGAATGATGAGGTTATGTAAAGTAATTTGATATGCTCTTAGAGGTAGAAACACACTCTGATGCTGAGCTCTTTTGCCAAAAACAGAAAATAGGGCCAAACTACAGGCAGCTATCCAAGGTATCATGAAAGCTGGATCTGTAACGGATATAGGCTGTTCATGACTCCCTACTTTGTCCTAAGGAGTTAAGGAATGTGGTGGTGATGAACTAATTCTAATACAACAATTATAAAGTCTGGATTGCATACATACAGACATAAAAGTACACTTTCAATGAAGTTTACATCCTGTACAGCAATGTCTTGTAAACTACATAGAGATATTGTTGTGTTTGGGAGTTAGTGAGAGCAAAACCTTAGTCAGGCAGACTAAAAATATTTGTTTCATGTTCAGTTTCTTTTGGTATGAGCTAATATGCCTCCAAAGGAGCTGACTTTAGTGTAACCATATGTTTAGCTGTTTGAATTGGCCAAACCGGTAGATGCTGTTATCACAAGTCAAAACAGATGATTAAGAAAATTTTAAATCCGTCTAAAAGAAGCACGATATTAAGAGTCTTGCCCTTGTACCCAAAGGTTGGAGGGCGCCCTCAGGAAGTGCAGGCTAGCATCATCTTGGAGTCCCACATCATCTGTTGCACATTGAGCACAAGCGGAGGCTTTCTGCTGGAGTCTGCTTTTCGCCGGCAAGGACTTGACCCTTTCAGCTGTGTCATTGTGGATGAGGTCAGCAAAGCTATTAGTAACTATAATCAGTTTAGTATCGATGGCAACAGCTGCAGCATGATATTTGGAAGGATGGAGAAACATCCATTATAAAGCTAACGTTTTTTGTTGCAGTCTTTCCTCAACACTGCTTTGTGGCTTCTGATGATAGGCTCTCCTCAGTGCCAGAGCCAGACCATAATCCCCAAACTATGTTCTCTTCTGCTTAAGGCAGAACACGATAAGGCTACACACACTGTTTGTCAGCCAGGGGCCTGAGGCCTTTGTAGATAGGCCTTTTTTGTCCTAGTTATAAATAGCAACCATCTGAGTCCATGTTCTACTATTTAGCAAAGTCTGGGAGATCCCAGACCCATGAAAGACGAGAACAGCGTCAAAGTTCATTACTTCTATCATGTATCTGTTACTCAGGTGGGAGATTAATCTGAATTAATCTAAACCATTGGTTTTCAAACTATGGGGTGTGTCGCTGTGTGGGGGCACAAGGACCTGACTGGTTCTGAATTTTGTCTTGTTTCTTCAAAATATTCCTCTCACTACCTGAGTCTTTTGGCTCACCTGCTGCCGTGAGGCTCTAAGAACGAGGAGGAAGGTTGGACTAAGGGAGTGTGGCCCCTCCCTTTGCAGGAGATGTGCGGTCGGGAAAGAGCATTCCAGCTCACTCACCTCTCCAGAGGCTGAAGTGCATGTGTCCCCTTGGGGGGTAGTTCTTGCCTGCCCATGCATGTGTGCTTGGAATTGCACCAGAGCCAAGGGAGCCTGTAGCCTGTGAGTGATTTTGGGAGTCTCAGGGGTGGGGACCTGGCTTCCTGCGTATCCCAAGAAGGGGATGCTCATGGGCTGGGGAGCAGCAGGTTGCTCTGGCCAGGATGGCCTCCCAAACCACAGAAATACTGCAGAAATACTGTTTCTTAGAAGGAGAGGGATCCACATGGGACATGAATCTCTGAAGGTGAGCACAGCAAAAAAAAAAGTGGTGGAAACTTTCCAGATTGATGGGTTATAAATGTTTCTGTTTAGAGAGCAAGGAATATTTGCTTTGCATGTAATTTCATATTGAGAGCAATTTATTTTAGTCGTCTTCGCTCAGATTTCTTAAGCAAAGCAATATTCCTTCTTTTGTTTTTTTTTAACTTTGAAAAATGAATGTGTTGGGTTATTCTGAGTACGTTACAGGAAATGTAACACTTATGTTTCCTCTTTTTGGCTTACAACTCCTACTTCATTTATTCCTGCTTGTGGATATGAAAGGCAGGGCAGTCATGTGAGGTTGAAACTCTGATCCCATTGACTCATCGCTGTAGTAAACTTGTCCTTGTTGGAGATCCCAAGCAGCTGCCTCCTACTGTAATATCTATGGTAAGCAGATTGTATTTGTACCTTTGGTAACGGAGTTGTATAATGGAAATAGTGAAAGGACAATAATGTCGAGTAGCACAGACTGCATAAAAGTATGTAATCAAGGCTAGATGGGACAATTTGAACATATAAAATACAAGGGGGAAAAGGATGGTCCAGTGGTCAGGGCACTAGCCTGGGACTCAGGTGATCAGGTTCAATGCCCTGCTGTGCCACAGACTTTCTGTGTGATGTTGGTCAAGTCAGTCACTTCGGGTATGTCTTCACTGCAGCTGGGAGTGAGCCTCCTGACGCAGGTAGAGAAACTCACCCTAGTGGGGCTCACGCTAGCTTGCTAAAAATAGCAGTGTGGACATTGTAGCTCAGACTGGAGGTTAGGCTCTATATTCCTATCTGTATGAGCCAAGAAAGGGGAAACATTCAATGTAATTCATACCGCACATTGCTTTTTTACCCCTGAAACTGCATGTTGGAAACTTTTCTTATTGGATAGATTAATAAGAAATATAACCTCATTTTTTTTTTTCAAAAGATCCACTAACTATAAAGCTTCTGACTGGTTAATGCCAGTAAAATTCTGCTGAAATGAAGGTGCAGACTTACTGACAAATACAAATTGTGAAAACTAAAATATAAATATCTGTAACGCTCTCAAACTCAGTGTCTTGTTGGTGAGTTAAAGGTGTGAAAACGAATGTACAAAGCTGCAAGTTTAAGCCCATATTGGATTTCTTATGATGCACCTAACTCCACAAAAGTCAGTCCTGTGTTTTGCCTCTGGCAGAAAGCTCAAGAGTATGGCTATGATCAGTCTATGATGGCTCGCCTGCACAAACACCTGGAGGAACAGATGCAGCAGAATGTTACAGGGAAGCTGCCCGTTTTACAGCTGACTGTACAATATAGGATGCATCCTGACATCTGCCTCTTCCCATCCAATTACATTTATGGCAGGACTTTAAAGACTGACAGGTGGGTCGCATTCTGTTTGTTTTGTTAGTAGGGGTATTCCAGCAAAAACTTAACAGCACTTAGTTATTTCCCCACATATCAATCAGTGTACTCCTTTGCCCGTAGGATTTCTTTCCAAAAGAGGGAAACAGATGTTTGCATAACTGGCGTGGAAACTCCCATAGCCTTCTTCCAGCTGTTGTCTTGGGCTCATGAATTAACTAGATCATAATCTCAAAGACTGGGCTAATTCTCTATCACCAAGAGCTCGGTTTCTTGCCTTGGTATACATTGATGGCATAAGGAATTATGGAATCTAGAAGAGAAGCTGAAAGTCTCCTGAGTTTTTTTACCTGTCGTAAATAAGTGATGTATCAATTCTCATAACTCTTGATGGTTGCAATGGTGATAATTACAATTATTTACAGAGCAACAGAAGAGAACAGATGTTCTTCAGATTGGCTATTCCAGCCATACCTGGTCTTTGATGTAGCAGATGGCCACGAGAAACGGAATAATGAGTAAGTTCTCTATTCTCCTTTCCACCAAAATCTAAATCTGCTGGTATAATTAACTGCAGAATGATTTTTCATACATGGAACGTAGCCAAAGCTCCATTCTGAACTAAAGACCTGATGTTGACATTCAGTAGTGGGAGAACATTGTTGCTCAGGGCACGAGTTTGGCATGTCTCTGATGTAAATATATTATCTTGCCTTTATAAAAGGGCTTGGGTGTAAGTGATTGTATATCTGAGTAGAGTCAGGGCTATCCTTCCTGATGTAGTTATCTTGTAGTGAACCAGAGACCCTGTGAACAGCCTGTTTACTATCTGGAATGAGTGTCATTAACTTTGTCAGGTTTTTTTTCCTTCTAACTCTTTTCATATCCAGTTTGGGACCCACTTACCTTTCTGTGGGTGCAGGGTAGTGTTTCACAAGTCTTTAAATGTAGTGGTGTGTTTAGTCAAGGTCACCTGCCCTTCTTCTCTCTGCTAATCTCCAGGGCTTTCCATGGCTGTCCAAGGTCAATCCATGGTTACCTTTGAATGGCTCCAGTTGCTCCACATAAAGTTTGCTGGCACTTAGGTCTTCCACCATGGTTTGTGCTGAATCTGTCTGAGTATGGTTCAAAGCACTATTGTCACAAATACTTAGTTCCAGAGAGTGAGTGGTAGTGTCTGACCATCAAATGGCTCTACTACATTGGTCGAGGAAACAATGTTCAAAGAGAAATCCCAACCCACTTTCAATTTAAAGTCCTGCTGTCTTCTAAATAAAAAAGCACACAATACATGTAGCACTGACTGTTTGGACTTTCTCTGCTATGTCTTGCTCCTCATGCTTTCTTCATTCCAGTATTCAGACTGCTATCTCAACTGTTTTGTATTGTTCTCAGAGAACAAACTCAGAACTGGTAGGTAAGGTCCCATGGGAAGAAAATGTAAGGGGAAAAGAGTTCAGGAGAGCTGGCAGTTTCTCAGGGAGACAATATTGAAGACACAACTGCTAACAATCTCAATGTGAAGGAAAGATAGGAAGAATAGTGTGGCTCCATCAGGAGCTCTTTAATGACCTGAATATCAAAAAGAAATCTTACAAAAAGTGGAAATGTTGACTAATTGCAAAGGAGGAAGTACAAAAGAATAGCACAAGCGTATAGGAACAAAATCAGAAATCTTTAAATACATTAGGAGCAAGAGAAAGATGAAGAAAAGTATAGGTCCTCTACTTATCGGGGAAGGAGAGCTAATAACGATGACATCAGGAAAGCTGAAATGTGTAATGCCTATTTTGCATCAGTCATCTCTAAAAAGGTTAATGGCAACCAGATACTCAACACAAGTAATATTAACATCAAGGGGTGAAGGAATTCTACCCAAAATAGGGAAAGAACAGGTTAAAGACTATTTATTTAGATAAGAAGGATATATTCAAGTCGTCAGGGCATGATGAAATTCATCCTTGGGCACTTAAGGGCCTAGCTGAAACAGTCTTGGAACTGTTATCAGTTATCTTTAATAACTCCTGGAGGAGGAGTGAGGTCCCAGAGGACTAGAGAAAGTCAAACATAATATTTATCTTTGAAAAGGGGAACAAAGAGGACCTGGGGAATTATAGACCAGTCAGCCTAACTTTGATACCTGGCAAGATACTGGAACAAATTATTAAACAATCAATTTGTAAGCACCAAGAGATAATAGGGTTATAAGAAATAACCAACATGGATTTGTCAAAAGGAAAAAGCAAAGCCAAACCACCCTAATTTCCTTCTTTGACGGGGTTACTTGTCTACTGGATGGGGAGAAGCAGTAGATGTGATATATCTTGATTTTTAGTAAGGCATTTGACACAGTCCCACATGAAATTCTCATAAGCACACTAGTGAAATGTGGTCTACATGGAATTACTATAAGATGGGTGCACAACTGGGTGAAAGACTTATCAATGGTTTGCTGCCAAACTGGGAGGACATACCTAGTGGGGTCTTGTAGGGGTCAGTCATGCGTCTGGTACTATTCAATATAGTTATTAATGACTTGGATAATGGAGTGAAAGTATGCTTATAAAATTTGCAGATGACACCATGCTGTGAGGGGTACAAGGAATTTGGAGGGCAGGATTATAATTCAAAATGACCTTGACAAATTGAAGAATTGGTCTGAATTCAACAAGATGAAATTCAGTAAAGACAAGTGTAAAGTACTTCACTTGGGAAGGAAAAATCAAATGCACAACTACCAAATGGAGAGTAATTGGCTAGGTGGTAGAACTGCTGAAAAGCATCTGGGAGCTATAATGAATCAAAAACTGAATGAGAGTCAACAGTGTGGTGCAGCTGCAAAAAAGGGCTGGCTAATATCATTCTGGGGTGTATTAATAAGAGTGTTGTATGTAAGGCATTAGGTGGTAATTGTCCCATTCTGCTTGACCCTGGTGAGGCCTCAGCTGGAGTCGTGTTCCCAATTCTGGGCTCTCTCCAGTTTGTCCAAATCTTTCCTAAAATAGAGAGTCCAGAGGAGAGCAACTAAAATGATATGATGTAAGGTTTAGAAAAACTGACCTCTGAGGAAAGGTTACAAAAACTGGGTGTGTTTAGTCTTGAGAAAAGGTGACTGGTAAGTCTTCAGATATGTTAAGGGCTGTTATAAAGAGGACGGTGATCAATTGTTCTCCATGTCCATTGACAGGAGGACAAGAAGTAATGGGCTTAATCTGCAGCAAGGGAAAAGTAGGTTAGATATTAGGGAAAACTTTCTAACTACAAGGGTACTTACATTGGAATAGGCTTCCAAGGGAGGCTGTGGAATCCCCATCACTGGAGGTTTTTAAAAACAGGTTGGACAAACTCCTGTCAGGTTGGTCTAGGTTTACTTGGTCGTGCCACAGTGCAGGGGGCTGTACTTGTTGATTTCTTGAGGCCCTTTCCAGCCCTACATTGCTGTGATGCATGGGCGCAAATATAAATAAGTGTTCATTTTGTGACTGTGTGGAATTTAATCCCTTGCAGCCTGGTTTGGTGTCCCACTAGCTGCCATCTCACACTGCTAACTCTAGCACCATTTCTCCAGACCCCTATGACCTCACTGACTTGCTTCTCCCTGCTGAATTCTAAGGGTCTGCTGTCACAAGACACACTTGCTCCCTTCCTCTATAATTTCCCCAGGCATTAGAGCTCACATGGGACCAATAACAGAGCCTTTCACAGGAGATCTTCCCCACTGGTGTATGTCAGCCCTAGCTTGGCGGTGGCTTATAAGTGCTTTGCAGCATCTTTCATCCAGAGATCTCAAAAGGATAAAGCATGAAGAGGCACAGTAAATCCTAGCACATGAGCTGTGCTAAAGTAGTGAGTTTAACAGTATGTAAATGGTTTTGATTTTGTTTTTCTTCCTCTTTATCTTGTTCAGCTCTTTTGCTAATCCCCAGGAAGTAAAGCTGGTGATGGAAATAATGAAATTGATTAAAGAAAAAAAGAATGATATTGGTTTTCGTCACATAGGAATAATCACCCCTTACAGTGCACAGAAAAAGATGATTCAACAAGAACTGGACAGAGAGTTTGGCAGGGGCAGGTAAAAATACCCTATATGTTCTACCTGGGATGAAATCCTCTGGATGGAGGATTTCCTTTTGCATTTCCTCTGTCAAATATTGCAGTAGGTTAGAAACTGTAATCGTTAAAATTTTTTTGTGCTGAGAAAAAGTACTGACAATTGGCTGCAACTGGTTAAGCTATTACAAGCATAGAGCAGCATTCAAAGCTTTTTCTCTTCATAGTGCTAGTGAGGTCCTTGGGTACCATTCTCTAGTTTGGATCTCTTTATGTGATCTGATTTATACAACTGTTCAGAATAAAAGTGATTAAAGAGCACACTTCAAATGATTCCTGAACTACAGTGAACCTGAACCACATTCTGGCATAATCTTGGCGTCTGAAAAAGAAAGTGAATGTTTTCAGAAAGGAGGGTCATGCACTGTATCTTTTTTTTTTTTTAAGAAATAGTTTAATTTACAGCATGGATTATGTTAAGAGGTTAACCTTTCATAAAAGTGCTTAGGTTATTGGGATAAGCACTTGGTTAAAATCCAAAGATGAAAATTTTAAACAGCTCAAAATTCCTCTTTCCTAGAGCGGGAGAAGTAGACACAGTTGACGGGTTCCAGGGTCGACAGAAAGACTGCATTATAGTGACGTGTGTAAGAGCGAACAGCACACAAGGGTCAATTGGGTATGTCTTGCCCTTTTTTTAAAAAAAAAAGAGGGGGGGATTGGTGACTTGAAGTCTGCACACACCTAGAGAGACTTTCTTTACATGTGTTCTCTGCAGAATGTCAGTAAGAGAACATCAAGGAGATAATATCTGTCTGGTGTTTTTCATCTCTGCCAAATTAAGCATTCTAATGGTCACCCCTCCCCACTGATCTCCTAAAAGTGGTCTGGACAGGGGGTGCTATAGAAATACCTAACTCTTATGTAATTCTTTTCTTCAGTAGATTTCCAAGCACTTCAAAATATTTACTGTATTTCTTCTCTTAGCGCCCATGTGAGGTAGGGCAGTATTATCCTCATTGTAGAACAGGAAACTGAAGCACAGTGGGGCTAAGTGATTTGTCCAGGTTCTCACACAGAGTCTATAGTGGAGCAGGGAATTAAACCTGAGTCTCCCAATGCCAAGTATTATAATAATCTGCACTGAGCACAGATTAAATTGCGTGCATCCTTTGGTTTGCCATTTTAATTGTCTGTTTAGTTTGGACAGAGATGATACACAGCCATCAGTTACCCAGGTATCTATCTTCATGCTATTAGCTCTGCTGTGCAATCTTACAAATTATATTCATATGGCTGTGTATTGTAACTTTGTTGATATGCTGATCTTCCTTTCTTTAAAAAAAAAATTATTCATGATTATGAATGAAAGTGACTTATTTATATAGCACTTCCAGTGCCAAAGTATTGCTAAACAGGGAAGTGATTTATAAATATGATTCAGAAATCCCTAATCTAGATGATTGTTTGGGAATGGGAGCCAGGTGTAATTCTGGCGCTGTTACTGGCTGGCTGTTACCCTCTTTGCTTCAGTTTGCCCCTTTATAAAGCTTACAAGCTCACCCAGCTGTTCAGGCTTTATTTGTACATTGCTTTGGCAATAAGATGCTCTTTAAGTTCTAAGGGCTTGTCTACATGAACAGTTAGACCGCTCTACCCTGCGCTAGCCTGCTACAGTCTAACTGTCCCTGGGGATGCTGCTGACATACATTAACAGTTCATTAGACCGCTTTGATCTATCCTTCTTTGAAATGGGACTAGCTGAAGGCACTCTAACAAACTGTTAACATGCATCAGCAAGGGTGTATGTGGACAGGCCATGGCTGGCTGGTGTGGTGTAGAGTCACACCCTAGCTTGCTGCAGTCTAATTGTTCATGTAGGCAGGCACGAAGTATTAATCACTGTGGTCTCTTCAAAGCAGGGTCCAACCACCTTGGCAAGGTGTTACAGGAAATTTGCACCACCGCTGCCTGTGCTATAGATTATTGTGTAGTGAGCAGAGGGGCTTTGATCTTCAGGGTAACCAGTCCAGCAGTGAATTCACTGAAAAAGTGACCTACAAAGGGAGCAAAACCCTGTCCAAGAAGTGACACTGAAAGGGTATTTCAGTGGGGGGAGAAGGGACCCCTGTAGATTTTTTTTTTACCTTAAAACTATCAGGAATATCAAGCTGTGCCTTCCCATTTTTTAGCTGGAGAACCGCATGGTGTCTACACTAGGGAATTTTACCTCAGAAATTCCCCTGGTGGGAGCCCTAACATAGGCCGTTCTCTGGGTTGCCATGTTTTTACTATCGTATGTGTGAAACTGCTGAAGAATAGGGTTCATTAACATGCTGGTAACACCAGGTATTGCTGTGGGACCTGTTTGGCTAAATTGGTGTCAGCCGTGACGAGACTTGTTTTTGCAAAATTCTTTGTGTAGAGTAGGCTCTGGAGTTGGGAGCTTTCTCAGTCCTCATTGGAGGAGGAGGAGTGGTAGCGTTATAGTCTTTAACAGAGCTTTTTTCCACAAGGTTCATCAGGAGTTTGAATTAAGTAGGTGCTAACAAAAATTGAACTTTAAACAATGAATAAAACCTGTAATTCTAACAAATTTATTTGAGCATAAGCTTACGTGAGCTACAGCTCACTTCTTCGGATGCTGTAGTTCACGAAAGCTTATGCTCAAATTTGTTAGTCTCTAAGGTGCCACAAGTACTCCTTTTCTTTTTGCGAATACAGACTAACACGGCTGCTACTCTGAAACCTATAATTCTGTTATCTGTAGAGTCCTCTGGCAAAAATAGGGTAGACAAGATCTAATATTTCCAATGTGAAAACTTTTTTGTCAAGGAACAATAATGTCAGGTCTCAAAAACCATGACAAAGCAAAAATGGCACCAACAGTGTGTTTCTCCTTTGCAGGTGACCTTAAAATAAATAAAATATTCAAGCACAGTGCTGAAATATTAAATAGAACGTTTTCATGTTAATCATACCAAATATTATTAATCTATTTCAGTTCAAGTCAAAAGGAAGCTCAAAGTCTTGACAGGAGAAATAAATTTGATCTCTTCCATCTGAGAGTCTATGCAGGGAAGGGAAGTGGCAGAGGGAATAGGAAGACTTTAGAGACTGTTTTAAGATGAAAGAAGTAGTGGCTACCAGGAGGGACCGGAGATATCATTGAGAAGGGAAGCAGCAGCAGTAGAAGCTGGTGGGAGAGAGATTCTCTACAGGGGATTGAAGATGGCAAAGGGAGCCTGGGTAACAACCAAAGTACCTTGTTTAGGGGAGGGCTGGCTGCTGTAGTGGGAACAAGGGATGGAGGAAAACCCACCTTCTTTGTAGTTAGCTTTTTTTTTTATTTCCGCAATTGTCACTTCTTAAAAATAAGAACTAAAGTTCAGTTAAGTGTGTTGGAAGAAATAGTACAGCAACTTAATTTTGTTTCATTATTTAGGTTTCTGGCAAGTCTTCAGCGTCTGAATGTTACAATTACCCGAGCCAGGTACAGCCTCTTCATCCTTGGAAGATTGACAACGTTAATGGTAGGTACAGTGTTGTAGTCCGGTGCATCTCTGCCTGTTCTCCCTGTTAGTTCAGGTCAGGAATGAGAAAGTGAAAGTCATTCCCAACCCATCCTTGTGTGAAAGAGGAGTCTGTGTTGGGATAAGGTTGCTCAGTTAAAGCAATCCAATGGTCTGAAAGCTACTCTTGGGCGGAGTCAATTGTCCTGTGGCTGTGTATTACACAAGAAGGCTTTCTGAAGGGAGAACTGTATCCATTGTTTCAAGCCAGGCAAATGAGATGCTGTTCTGTAAAATGGCTTGCAATAAAATTTATCAGTAAAAAATACTGAAAGTATGAGGGGGTAAATCTTCTCCTCAGTGGCAGCATGAACGAGAGCTGGCACTGGCAAGCTCCACAGCCTGAGGGTCAGAATCATCCCCTTTCTTCCCTCCAAAGCCAAACAATAAACCAAACGAAGCTGCCTTCCCCAGTCCTAGTGACTGCTTCAGATAGGGAGAAGACCAGAGGACCCACCAGCCCCAAATACTCCCCAGATCTGCTCCCCATTCCCTTTTCGAGCAGAACTGCATAATATCTACTGACAGGGCCCTCCATGCCTGAGGAAGAGTTGGTTTTCTGCTCTAGCACATGTTGAGAATGCAAATTAAGCATAAAGAGGCCAGTTTAGTTCCAGATACTTCCAGATACAGGCCAGTTTAGTTCCAGGCTTGTTGATGTTGTCCTGTTCACCCCTTTGCTTCCAGAATTTGTTAGATCCTAGGCATGGTGGCATAAAGTAAGGAGGAAAAGGGGAAGATCTTAGCTTATTTCATTGGGATCAAGTGTACTGCACTTGGCCAGTTTTGCGGTTATTAGTCGGCATTGTAATAAGAATCAGGACTGCTGGGACAGTTTAACTGCTGTAGCTGGCATTTCTCATTCAGCAGAGAATCAGTAAATGTCCCTGTTCTCATTATATCATTGTCCTTGCATATAGTGACTTGTTTCTAATATAATCAATCTAAGAAACCATTAGATTTTACTCATTTAGGAAGCTAAAATGTCTTTTTTTGAATTTGAAATTTTTAAAGGAACACTTTTCGCTTTTAAAAAAAAACACACTTTTGTCTGAATTTTTACTTACACATTTCAAGTAATGCCTAAGATAACCAACTGAAAAAAATTAGATTTTTTTTTCTATTACTTCGGTTTGTTTACCTTATGCACAAAATGCTATCAAATGCACAGTCAGTTTCAGTTTCCCTGGGATAGTCAGTTTTCCCTGCGTGTGGGTCTTTCACTCCAAAACAGTGGAGAAAAACGTTTTTACAAAACAAGAAAATGTGACTGGACCCCACAGAAATTGGCAGGGTGGAATCTGGAGCAGGTGTAGTAATTGAAACTGCTTAAATTCACCTTTTAAAAATTGCCTATATTTGAAGTTGGTGTCCCTTAAACCAGTAGTGTGCAAATTTATCAAATCGTGCCCCCCATTACCATTCAGATAATTTGGCATGCCCCCTCCATTATCGTAATCTGAAACGTTTTTCATGCAGAAGTAAGAGTAGCAATGTGTGAAAAGTGGTATTTGTCAATATCACTTTTCACAGAAGTCTTAGCACCTCATTGCCAGCAGCAGCAGAAGTAAGGGTGGCAACTGGGGGCTAGTAAGTCTCCTATGAAAAGTGATATTAACAGAATTTCTTTGCACACCTGCCCTAGACAAACTCTTGTACCCCCCGCAGTTTGCACACCACTGCCTTAATTTTTCAAAAAACATATTCTTTTACTGTATCTCATGCACCACTAGGGGGCAATCACACCATATTCTTGTGTTGTATTTGGACAAGGTCGGAGGACCACTGTCCTGACAATCATAGTTACAGGAGCTGTCAATTTAAATTAGTTTGTACGATGTTGGCTAAAAGTATCCTCTCTGTGTTATAGCAGTGGGATGCTGTATTGCTTTTTAATGAAACTTTTACTAAAAATCCTTTCATCCCAGAGCAAGTGTACATATAGTTCCCGTGATGGCTATCAGAAGTGAGGTTGTGTGGATTAAAAAAAGGACAACATGCATCCTGAGATTCCTGTGTGTGCTATTTGCTAACTATTTTTCTTCTTTCAAGGACAATAAAGACTGGAATAAGCTGATTCAGGATGCTCAGAGAAGAGGCGCTATCATCAAGACTTGTGACAAAAACTATAAAAGAGATGCTGTTAAAATTCTGAAGCTCAAACCAACATTACAGCGGCCACTCTCTTATCCTCCTACTGCTGCGCTGTCAGAGAAAGCTACTCAAATGCAGGCGTGTTTGGGCAATGATGGGAAGAATAAGGTCCCCAACAGAAAAAGCAGCAATGACTCTGGAATACTCTCGGCCTGTGCTGGCCTGTCAGCACAAGGCAATGGAGTAGTAAGACAGGCACCAGAGTCTCAAGCTTTGGGTTTCAAAGGAGTCACTCTTCCCACACCGGTGCAGCCTGCTGTTCGAGAGAGACCACGGGATCCAAGACTGGCTAGGAGGGCAGAAGCGACAGGGAAGGAGCAGGCCTCCAAGAATAGCAATCCATCAGCCCTGAGCAATCCAGATGTGACATTGTCACGGGGACCTGATGCATCGGCAGCCCACTGGGGTCAGATCAGCACTGTGCAGCCTACTGTCTCCAAGGCGGAAAATTCCAACAAACCCAACCAAACTGTAAGACAGCCGGACATGCCTTTCACTGCTTCCCATACAGCCAGGCAGGACCATGACTGGAGAGTTTCTGTCTCCTCAAAAGAGGCAAGAACTGGCAGCAAAGACAAGGACTGTCGGACCCCTGCAAGCAGAAGAGCATTGGAACAACCCCCAGAGAACAAAGACTTGAGTGAGGCCAAGAGGAGGAAGGTCTCCTATTAGCTGAAATCTTTCTAGGATCAGCTGCAGCTGGCAGCCTTGCCCCCACTATATAAGCCCCTCCAAAACCTATCCCTGCCCTTAAAAATATGGACTATATTTAAAAAAAATAAATATCTAGTTCACCTGGAACTCCTTCATATTGCTACTTTTCTACTAACAGATCCAGTTTTTCCCATCCCATCACTGACTGTTGGGTGAATTCATACCTGAAAAATCATATCCTTGGAGCTTTTGAACTGAAAAGTTGGGAAATTGCGCCATATGTAATGGCAATAAGTTTGAACTATGATCCTAGGAAGTGAAGTGCTGTAAATGTTGAATTGATGTATATTTGTATAGCATACAAAATTATTTTAAGATTTAATTCAGCAAGCATATTGCTGCTTGTTTCCGTGCCCGAAAGCTGATTTCAGAGTGGAGCAAATTTTTTTTATAAAAAAAAAAAAAAAACTGAGAGAAAACCTCACCAGAGATTTTCGGTAAGTCTAGTTTCTTTAATAGCAAATAGGACATTTTGAAAAGGCTGAGAGGGTGGTAACGGGTCAGATGGCTTTTGATTCTTTCTGAAATTCCACTGGTATCTGGTGGAAGACAGTGAGAAGGTTGTTTGTGTGCGTGAATGTTCAACAGAATTCTACATATGGTGTGTATATATATAATTTTTTTTATTTCACTTCCCCATTTTTTCATAGGAACAAAATATCCTTGGCTCATGCAGATGTGCCTTGAGTCTTACTTTTGGTCCTTATTCTTCAGCTGTTGTCCTTAGCCCTCTGATTGTGACATCAGTTTATTGCAGTTTGAGTCTATAGACTGATGGCACTAACTGTGGCTCAAGACACTGAGCTCCCACTGAAGTCGGTAGTAGTTGAGGACGGCCAGATTGCATGAGCCTGGTTAGGCCTATTGGCTCCAAGTGAGGAATAAGCAGCAGAAGTTTTTGAAGTCTTTATCAAAGATCCAGTCCATCCTTGATGATGATGATGATACTTGGCTTGCTTGGTAACAGAGCACTTTGAGATCTGCAGAGATGAAAAGGCTAGCTATATAAGAGCTGAGTATGATTATTACTATTACTGGATTCTGTTTACTCTGTAGATGTAGAATATCTAACTGGTAAATGAATAAAACTGCAATAACTAATTTTTTAAAAACAAAAAAAAAAGCCCTACTCATGTGCATGTTTTCGTAACCGAAACAAAAAAAGAAGTGCAAGTGGAGTTGTTTCTAAATAGAATATGTTCAGAGTAAGGCATCAGTTGCTCTTTCAGGAATATCATGAATGTCTAAGTGTATAAAGAAAGTGAATAACATCTGTTAGGCGTACTATCTGTTTTGCATAGAGACAATACAGAGCTCATGTTTTGTTTGCGTGTGTTTATTTAGCACTTTGACGATCTGTCACTGGCTAGAGCCAGAAGTAGTGTGGGCAAGCAAGGTGCAGATTTTTTCTTTGGACCTTTGATGATGATGCAGCTCATTTTCAACTTGCAAATACCTCTACTATGGCTTTTCTAAGTTTGATCTGAGAAGAGATTACCATGGTATGCCAAATCATTTCATGCTGTGGACAAATGACACCTCAGAACTAGAAGGAAGCCATCAAACTTGCTTTATATGTGAGCTCTTGTGAGATAGAACCCAGCTTTCTTAAGATGCAAAATTAAGACCTAGCTCCATTAAATTAACGGGAGCAGGTTCTCGGCACATCTACTGAATGACTTATGCCCACCGCTGCACAGGAGGGTTTTGATTCCGTTAGCATGCTGGTCTTTCCAGTTTCACCACAACATAAGAAAATTGGGCTAAACAGTCGTGCCAATGGTTTTGTTTAGGTTTCCCTCCCGATACTTTCATTGCAGTGATTAATGTTGCCTTCTTCCTTTCATACCGACAAACGGCTGCGTGGTGCTGGTGGTGTCACAGCAAAATATAGAGATGACATAACCACTGTCAGAATAATAGGACAGTAGCCTGCGTGGTAAACTGTAAGCTGAACTGGTCTGAATTCACCCATCCGAGCTTGAAATAGATGGGCTTTACTAGCGACAGCTGAGTGCTAGGTATATTGGAAGGCTATATCTCCTGTATCGGCATGGCACAGCTCATGACCTGCTGTTCTCTATTACAGTGATGGTAAGGAGAATAAATGGGCTAAATTCTGCCCTTAGATAGGCACAAGAAATAACGCCAATAACAGATGTTGCCCACAAAATTTGAGGGCAGTATTTCACCTCAGAGCTTTGTTTCATATGTGTACTACATTAATTGCTAGCACCGTATGCACCTTAAACTGTCATGAAAGTCGTTCAGAGTAGTGTATGATGTAACTTGCGTTTGCGGGGAGTAGAGCTGTTAGAATGAGCTGCTTGTTGTCATACATTAGAGATCTCTGTATAACTCCTAGTTGAGATTCATGCCCTGTGTGTATCTATATCTAGGCTAAATAGGAACACTTTGAAATACTGTCTCCCTTATAAACCTGTTGTATCGGTGCAGTATTGGTTAAAAAGGCAGGGTTAATCAGCTAACCGATGTAGTTCCTATAGCTATGGAAACTATGCAGTGTATATTCATGTAAAAAAACTGAAGACAAAGTCAGTGTAAATCAGGGAATGCTTTTCTAACGATTAACTGGAAAACTGTTTGTTTGTCAAGCAAATCTTCGAACTCTTCCAGTCTTCTTTTTGTCAGATCAGCTGCACATTCCAGAATGTAAGTTCTATCCTGAAAATGACGCTTGTCAGGTGCTGGAAGGAATTTTATTCTGATGTCTTACATTGCCTTTGTGGCATTACATCACCCATGCTTTGTATATTTTATATCTCCTGCCTCTGTATAGGGAGAAGTGATGAGCTGTGCAATTTTTACTACACAGGGATAAGTGGCTTGTGCGTGCCTATCTGGACCCAATAAATCCTGTATTACACGCACTATTGCTTAGTGGAGTTGTATAACTTCTCAATAAACCCTGTTTGATTGAGAGACTGCAGTACCGTTCCAGTTTACTCCCTCAGCTGATACAAGGTTTTATTGCCTTTACTTGCTTTGTATATGTCGCCGCTTTGTCCGTCATTTCTCTGCACTAGCTCATTCTGCCACATCAGTCTGTTAATGCTCTATTTTGTTTTTGAATAAAAAATGTTTGAGTTGAGTTTGCCCTTTATGTTAAGCATTTTTCTCTTTATGCATAGCCCAGAATTGGTTGCTTTTAGTAAAAATGAGAGTTCATGTGGAATAGATTAAGTTTTTAATTAGTATTTTTCTTCCAGCTATATACATAACACTTAGTGTAACCAGCAGGCAAACTGTGATCCAAGGCACTTTCTTCACTTTGAGAGTTTAGACTAAATGTATTACAAAAATAAAACCTATGCCAAGATGCACACTGATATGGTGCAGTTTTAACGTATTTTCATCTCAACTGTTTCTTTTGCCCATGCATCATGTAATCAGCCTTTTAGTAGAGACTGATGAACATACATGCAATCTACATTATGTTGTTATTTTGTTTTCTCCTCCTTTGACTGATCTGGCTAATCCCTCAACTATGCAAGTAGTCTTGTACTATTCTTTCTCATGTATTTTTGTTTCAGAACTAGTAAGTGGCAGAATAGCCATCGGAAGACCCCCGCCCACCCTCTTGCACGTGTATTGCCTAGATGAATCATTAATTAATGAATGTATGGAAGACTGACTGCATGTATTTTAATGTGAAGCAGTTTAATTTGGTCTTTGGACCAAATGAGTTTGGAGGAAGAAACTTTAAATGTTTGTGAATCAATGGCTTCTGTTTTTTTCCAGCTCATTGGCTTAATTTTCAATGCTATAGCAGCTCCTTTGTGGTGATTGTCATTTGTTATCTCTGAATAATAGAATGGGATTCCCTTGTGCTTATAAGTGCTGAAATATACTCTGTCCAGAATAGGTGGCCTTCTTGTGAAGGTGGAAGAGAATTGCCCTTAGAGGAGAATCAGACACTGTCTGTTAAGGCGGTATCCAAACATTGCCTAATATGAGTATCTTCCTTTTGCAGATTTCACTGCAGTTATACAGGATACAGCACCATAACCTCAGTCTGGCACTCAAGGTACCTCCCTTCATGGTATCTATACAGAGGTCAGATTTACTAGCCAGATAAAAGCAATAACCTAGTTCAGGAAATGTAGTCATACCTGGTACCTTAACTTTTTGTCACTTGTGTGAAGTGCTTGGCATTTGACTGTTACAAATGCACCCAAAGCCTACTTAACTAAATTTACTGGAAGGGGGAAGGTGTTCACATTAAATTTAAAAAAAAAAAAAAAAGTGTCCCACTGTCAGTAACACAGATCCAGCTCCCACTGTAGCAACGTTAGGTGCTCTATAGTAGACAAGGCTCTCATGGCCATGTATTTTTAACATTTTCTGTCTAATTCTGCTTTGACTAGATCTAAACCACACGCCATTAAAAACAGCAGCAGCCCCCAGGGCCTTGTCTGCTTTCGAGCTCTCAAAGCCACTAAAACTGGGAAAGTGGTGGAAGAATTTTCAGAAGAAAAGTCTAATGTAGACAAGTCACGTGTGGCTTGCTGATTTGAAGGCAACTTGGTCCAGTGAACAAAACAAAGGAGTGGGCATTGAGGTATCTGGGTTTGAGTTGTGCTACTGACTCAGAGGGCAGCATAGGGCAAGCCATTTATCCTCTGTGCCTGTTGCCCAGTGTCTAAAATGGAAGTAATTCTTCCCCTTCTTTATGAAGGATCTTGATCTCTACTGATGCCATGTAAGTGCCAAGTATTATGTATTTCCAGGTCAAAACAAGTGATGAGGCTAGAGAGCATGTTCCAGTAAGTGAAGGGTAAGGCAAGATTTATAAGTATGTTGTAGTTCCCTTTTTAAAGCAAGTGTTAAAAATGCAGGGACTTCAGTCTTTTTTTTTTTTTTTTAAAGCAACCATTTGAATGTGCAAGCTGATAGCTATACTTTAAAATTAGGGCATAACATTGTTCTGGTGGTTGACAGCTGAAGGCTAGTTGGTCATTTGCAGACTATATTTACTCTAGCAATACCACAACAACCAGAAACATGTTTCTAAAATGGCAAGACACTCTCCTCTATGCTGCATGAATAAATAATTCAGAGATGAAACAAACTGCTATATTGTAATTGGGATTTATGGTGCTAAACTGTAGAATACAACTTCTATCCACAAAGGCTCCATTCCCAAGTCATATATAAGGCCTTTCTAAATCCCTGGAAAAATCCATTGCACTGTTTTCAGTGCAAATAAATCTAAACTAAGTAGTGAGTTGTATATTAAATGCCTCTGAAAGATGAAGCCTGTTAGCCATGTGCTCCTGTCTGCTAAGGTACAGACTCCCTTCCCATTAGTGTCCAGGAAGATCATGGGGAGTGAGAGGTAAATTTATCTTGTACACTTGTTACATCTGGTATGGTTCAGCATGTATAAAACTTGCTTTCTAGACTGGCATATGTGACACTGCCCAGTGCAGTCTTACTTAATTGCTGTATCAAGTAGAGAATTTGCTCTTCTGCAGTGGGATTCAGTGCAATCTGGACTTGAGGACCGTTACTGATTTCCGCTCTCTCCCCACTTTAAACTCCCAGATCACTGCAGAGTTGCATGGGGTTTCCTTCAGAGTCTATCACTCCTGCTCCTGGCTAACCGAGGGTCAATTTAGAGCCACTTTGCAAAATTCTCAGCAATCTTTAGAGTTCCCCACCATTATGGCCCATGACAACAGATTTTTGACATTCCTGTCCCCCTCCTTTTTCCCCCCTTACACTCCCCCACCCCAAAACCAACACTTTTTCTGGGCAAGCAAAACTGTACAAGTGTACTTTAGAGCAACTTGAAACTCTCCTCTGCCCCTGGTGCCTAAATGTGCCACTCCCAACCAACCCTTACGTGCCGCAGCAAAGCACTCCAGGTCTGGCCATGGACTAGGAACATTTCCTAGAAGATGCTGCTTTAACTCTTATCGTATTTAGAACTAAGAAAACACTGAGCTTCTGCTTTTATTTACACTTGGGGCATTTCATGAAAGCCAATTAAAGCACAAAATGTTGCTGATGGGACAAAGTGCTGATAGCATGTGCTGAGTTTCTTTAATGGTCTGTATTTCCCCCTTTCAGATAAACTGTCCATTTCCTAACCATTTAAAAAAGAACAACTGTCCTGTGTGGCTCTCACAAATTCTAGCAAAGGTAGATTTTACCTGTCTTCAGCTGAGAATGAATATGGTTAAAAGCTTTCTTGGGTGAGTGAATTTGTGCATAAACCCAAATGACTGATTTTTTTCTCTTTTCTGTAGCTATGGTGATAGATTCATACTGGCGGCACTATTTAATCATGCCAGACAACAGGTCTAGGATTGCAGATTTTTTGGTGGCTTTTATTTGGGTAAACAGATTTGTTATGACACCACCAAATAGTTAAAGTTGGAATACAATTTGAGGTAAATAGGAAAAACAAAGGTCTGTCTTAATGCTTGTTTAAAGAGGTCAGCATTTTGCAGACTGGTATAATTTTAAAAATAAACAGGCAAACCAACTTAAAACATTAATGTGAGTAGATTTTCTAGGAGGGTGCTGGTGCCTTTTAAGGATTTTTTTTGTTAGCCTTCCCACAACTAATATTTCCCTGCCTATTTAAAAGCATAAACTTTTGCTTCATGAGTGACTGCAGCTTCTATATGGGTCTTCCAGAATGTGAACATTCATCAGTGGCATGTACCTAAGATGAAGGATGTTTCTTCTTTTTGTATTATAGTAAAGCTATTTCTCCTCTGTGTGGATACTTGTCTTGTATGTTACCTTTTGTCAATATGCTCAAAGCACTGAAGTTCTCAAAGCTTTGAAAAACATTTCCTTTTTTAAACGCTGAATTTGTGATTGGGGAGATGCGTTTTCAGTTGTATGTCCTTCCTGGCTGCATAAGTGCTAAATTTTAAAATGAAAATGGGCTTTCTAAAACAGGACCAACCATAGCAGCTTTGAGTCTGTCTTTATGAGGGGACCAGAACTCCTCCCCTTGCTTTCTAATTGGCTATTTGGAGTTGGCCTAACCAAAGTCCATGGATCATTTAATTTGCCTTTGAGACAATTCCTTGGTGTCCGTGTTTTCCTATGGTTAGATTACTTTAGCGTGGCATCCTCTTCTGTCTAGGTAGGTATTTATAAAGAGCCCAATACTAGGTAATAGGTACCATGGTTTTTTTCCCTTTTTTTTTTTTTTGCACCATGACTTCAGCAGCTGTAACTTGTGTTGTATCCCCCTTGTGGCTACTCTAAAGGATAACAGCCTACTTTTGTTACTAGCTAAGGAGGAGCTGCTTCAGCTCAAGTTATAGAAGCCCGTGTGTTGGTACTGAAGGTACGTGGTCTAAACCCTGCTGCCAACCTGTGGTGAGAGGGTCATAACATCATTACTGCTTATTTCTCTCTCAAGCCATGCAAGGAAGCCAGTGACATCTTTTTAAGAATGCTGTCTAATGCAATACTGCCTCCTGTCCAGCAGCCATTTGCACATAGGCTCTAGCTGGTCAGTTCCCAGCAGTGCCACCCTTGATTGTTTTTTTCCCCCCCATGGAAGCTTTGTGTTGATGTTATAAATGTTCCGACTTCCAGTGCAATAAAGCCACTTGAGCACAGAGCGGGGGCTCCAGTAGCTGTGGAGTCTGTCTGGGGAAATGGTTTTATGAAGTAGTAAATTATTTGCAGTTGCTTATAATCTAATTTCCTAGAGAAATAGTAGCGGTTGGACAGGGAAATGTGTATTTTCCCCCTCCAGACGTGCTTTTAAGGTCTTGATTTAGTTATAGACTCTCCTATAAAAACTGCTTGCAAGAATTGTAACTCATGGGGACTTTATGTGGTAGAGCAAGAACAAATGGTAGCAACAAGCAGCATCTAGCCAATTCTAGACAATGTACAGCTGCACCAAAGAAAAGGAGAGAGTGCCTCTGCCAACAAGTTCATGAAGTTGGCAGTACTTAAACTCCCTGTACCTAAAGGGTCAATTCAGCCCTTCTCCCCTTCTGTGCTGGATTGAATCAAGTTCCATGCTCTTTGTATGTGAGATCCTTCATATGAAAAAATGAGCTCAAAGGAAACAAGACCTCTGGATTTAATGATTCCATGATACTATTT